ATGGACAAAAAAGAAATTATTGAAAGAGGGAGAAAATAAAAAAAAAAAGTGAAAAGTGTCCAGCTGTTTTCTAAACAAAATTTGTATATATTTCAGGTAACATGACTGAATATATAGGGTAGGTCTGGTTTTCTTTTCTTTTTCTTTTTGAGGGGGGCCAATTAAAGAAATAACAAAAATCACCAAACATATTTTTAGGTCTGTTAAACAATTATATGGGGTTTAAATTTGGTTTAGATACGAGCCTATGAAGAAGTAGGGTTAATATACGATTCCCTTGTTTATTCATCCATCAGTTTGTTTGCATCCGATGGACAAGTTTTCCAAAATAAGTCTGGATTGAGTACATTTATGCGAGATGAAATTGTCAAAGGTAGGTAGGGGTACTTGAAACATACATATTTTGTTTTGTCCTTATATATTTCCTTCTCTTTCTTATATATTTTCCAGTTTACCAATAAAACTGAGAGTTGATTTTGTTTTTAACATGTACAGAAATATTATTCAAAGTGACAAAAAACAATAAAACGATCTTATTCAATACCTAGCATACAGATTTAAGACTAAAAAGTATTTGAAACTAGCAACTCTGATTCTTAACAAGAAAAATGAAGAAATTTGAGCCCTTGGGGGTAGGGCTGGCTCAAATTTTTCAAAGTATCAAACTGTCAACTCAAGGTTATAATTCCAATCAAGTTATTAACATGTAATATTCAAAGTATCATTTGCCATTATAAACCATAATAACTGGATAGCAGTTTGATGGTATGCACACGTCAGTCAGGGCTGATATGTGCATACCATCAAACTGCTATCCAATACTGATAATGCTAACCCAAATTGAATAACTTCCAACAGAAATTTAAAAAAATGTTGGTCCATAATGTGATTTCCCTATATAAACTATAGGAAAGTTTACCCCCTCCCCAAGGGTAAACATGAGACCCCAGGGTCATGAAATTCACAATTTTGGTTAAGCACCTTGAGACCCTTCCATCTATGAAGAGTATTTGATTCTACCATATCTGGGTCTTGAGAAGAAGATTTTTGAAATTTCAGTAAATTCAACCCTTTTTGCCCCACCCATCAGCCCCGGGGGGTCAGTCAGGGCTGATATGTGCATACTATCAAACTGCTACCCAATACTGATAATGCTAACCCAAATTGAATTACTTCCAATGGAAATTAAACAAATGTTGGTCCAAAATGTGATTTCCCTATATAAACTATAGTAAAGTTTACCCCCTCCCCAGGGGGAAACGTGAGACCCCAGGGTCAAGAAATTCACAATTTCGGTAAAGCACCTTAAGACCCTTCCATCTATGAAGAGTATTTGATTCTACCATATCTGGGTCTTGAGAAGAAGATTTTTGAAATTTCAGTCAATTCAACCCTTTTTGGCCCCACCCATCAGCCCCTGGGGGTCAGTCAGGGCTCATATGTGCATACTATCAAACTGCTACCTAATACTGATAATGCTAACCCAAATTGAATTACTTCCAATGGAAATTAAACAAATGTTGGTCCAAAATGTGATTTCCCTATATAAACTCTAGTAAAGTTTACCCCCTCCCCAGGGAGAAACGTGAGATCCCAGGGTCAAGAAATTCACAATTTTGGTAAAGCACCTTAAGACCCTTCCATCTATGAAGAGTATTTGATTCTACCATATCTGGGTCTTGAAAATAAGATTTTTGAAATTTAAGTCAATTTGACCATTTTTGGCCCCACCCCTCAGTCCCCTGGGGGCTTGGGACTAAACTGGTCACTATTTTTGTTGACCTTTGTCCATTGAAGGTTCCTGCAAAATTTCATTGAAATTGATCAAGGGGTTTTGGAGAAGAAGTCGAAAATGTAAATTGTTTACAGACGCACAACGGACGAAGGAGGACGACGGACAAAAGGCGATCGCAATAGGTCACTTTAATTGTCTCAGGTGACCTAAAAATGGGCCATATATGTGAATACGTTATTTTATAACGAGTTGAAAATTATTGCTTTCATACTTGATAGGGAAAAAAATGAGCGATTGCTCAGTTACGCAACTCGATTCTTTAAAATATAGTCTATCATAAATGATCTGTAATTACCAGTAATGATTTGAGAATAAATCAAGGTTATTGTGTCGACAATGGTGGCAGTGGTATCCTTATGACCAGACTATAATATCGTAATTGTAATATCACTGTATCAGTCTATCATTAAGGCTTTTTAATGACATTTGGAGGTAAATATGACTTACCATATTCTACCCGGCATTTTTCCAGAACTTATCTTTTGAATTTCACATCACACATGGTATTTATTTAAATTTTAGTGTTTATTTGATAATGGAAAAAAGAGGCCCAATGGGCCTGCATCGCTCACCTGGTATTAATCTCACACTTGTAATCTTAAGTGTTTGATTCATAAGAACATATTAAAAGATTTAAACATATGACGCCTGTGACCTTGAATGTCAAACAACGACATTATGTTGAAAGTGGGTCAAGGTAATTTATTTAAACAAACTTGGTAGTCCTTCATCCCAGCATGCTACAGGCCTAATTTCAGTACCCTGGGCCTTTTTTTTATTGAGAAGTGGTTTGAAGCTTTAACGACATTTGTCCCATGTGACCTTGAAAGTGGGTCAAGGTCATTTATTTGAACAGGGTCAAGGTCATTCATCTTAGCATGCTACAGACCCAATATCAGTACCCTGGGCCTTTCGGTTATTGAGAAGAAGTTGTTTGAAGATTTTAAGACATTTGACCCCTGTGACCCTTCGGGCCAGGTGAGCTAATAAAACGACAATGCTTTTTTGTCAGCGAGAACCCATCTTTCAATGAAAAAGTTTATCTTTCCATAAACTATATACAATAAAGAAATCCACATACCTTCAGGAAAAGGCACTGATGCTTCAGATGAGTCCATTAAAGTCGTGGAACCCAGCATCGTACTGTAAGAGAAATGTACAATGATATATAAACACAATTTACGCATTGATATATCGAAACAAAGAGATAATTATAAATTTACCATCATTGTGAAGGGCAAAAAAGGCCAAAATTAAACTGCAGCAAATATTTCCAGGTATACGGTAATTATGTCTCTAATAACAACAGTTTCCTTGTTTCACAATAGATACAGTTTCCTTGTTTCACAATACATACAAGTGTTTTTGACTGGTGGTGGGGATGGGTTGTTCTTTCCAAGATATAAACCGGTAGGCAAAGAAAGTTTAATTCTGATAACTTCAAAGTCTTGATAGTTTCAAGGCATTATTATTTTTTATTGATCTGTAAAAAAACATACATCTTCTAAAATGAGATCAAGTCAATTTAATATTTCTTACCTTGCCTAACGGAATTTGCCCGCTCTACGGCGACATAGACCTGCCACTATGTCACACCCTTGGCCCCTTAGCATGGCCCTTTTGACTGCCTCCACACTGTGGCTAAAACAAGAAATTAACTTAATTAAAAATTACCATCATGAAATGACCATCTTTGAAAGCTCTATTGAAACTAGAAGACTTCTTGTCGGAATGGTAACACAAGTGTCAAAATTAGGTTGGATGAAAATTGGTTTGTAAAATCAACAAAAAATACAAATAACACCACCAAATCAATTCCGATTGTCATTTTCACATTTTTTTTACATGTTATTTACCTCAGTGTGAAGAAAGTCAAACCGAACGAAACATGGCAGTGTCTCAGTGCCACCTCCAGGCACGTCCCCCGTGTCCTTCATGAAAGAAAATTTAGGTAAACATGAGATTTTTCTTTCTTATGAGAGCAACTTCATTTATAGATGGGATTAAACACTCGGGTCTGAACTGAATATGATGACCATTTTGATGGAAACTATTTTTCAAAATTTGAGCATCATTCAAGGTCAACGTTTATGGTAATAGAAATTAAGAGCAATGAACAAGGAACATTTTACTTCCTCATTTTCATAATTAATTCCAAAAGTGTCAATTACCTCCTATGGACCGGGGGCATATGGAAAGAGATCGGGATGAAGGCGTCGATCTCTGCGCCTTGGATGGCGCCTCCTCCGGGAGGAATCGGGAGGGGCGACGATTTCTCTGCGCCTTGGCCGGCGCCTCCTCCGGGAGAAATCGGGCGGGGCGACGATTTCTCTGCGCCTTGGACGGCGCCTCCTCCGGGAGAAATCGGGAGGGGCGACGATCTCTCCGCGCCTTGGACGGCGCCTCTAAAAATACACAACAATATACTTGATTATGTTATGCTCGATGAACAGGTGCTTCATGGAATGAACTTTTTGTTTTGGTAGCACTGGTCTACATTTAATCAATTTTAATAGTTTTGGATGTTTTTTATCTGAAAGTTTTCATATATACACTTTATTAAGCAGACAGTAACTAAACTGAATACATAGTGCATTTCTACTTTTGAAGACCAGCTGTATAGTATATATTACCTTTATCAAATCTTTTTTGTGGGGACAATTATGTGCAACTAATACAGTTTGTATTTTCTAAATGTTACCAAGATCAAGATTTACATGTAGCCATCATTGATAAATTAATATTGAGATAGAAAATGTTTGTAAAATATACATGCCAGGTTGATGGAAACGGAGCTAACCAAATTTAATGCATAAATCAGAACGCCATGTCTAACTAAGTTGGCGAAGTGGAAAATACAGTCAATATTTTCATACAATTACTAATAAATTGTTTTCATGCAAATATTTACCCTCCTCCGGGGGCTGGCAGGCCGTCCTATTCCGTCAGTCAGATATTCTGGACCAGATGACCTTTACCCTAGTCAGACTTTCCGACGCAAGAGGTACTGTTGCAAAAATAGATTTACTCTAGTTCAGCTGCACCCAACCATCCAGTCACAAGAGAATTTAACCCCAGCTCGGAAACAACCAATATGAAGCACTTGACTCAGTATGATTACATGTTCCCCTCAGGACTATCACGGAGGGGTACATGATATCGGATCCCCACATATAACCATAAAGGTCCTTGTACCTCAATAATGGTGTTCGCCAGGGTTAAAAACTTTGTTAAAGGAGTGAATAATGCAGCTGAAATGTCATAAATCTATCCAGCTTCAGATACCCCAGACGCCAAATCACCCAACTAGAGCTCAGACCACCTTCCTAGATATATCTGACCAGGGTTCTGTCCACTTACAGTAAGACAGTCCTGTAAAAAAAAAAAAAAAAATCATATTAGCATCATTTTGGAAAATTTTACATAAATGGGTAGAAGGAAATGAAGTAAGAAATTATCTTTGTAGTCTTTTGCTGGTTTTCCCCTACTGGGCCCAAACCTCTCAGCCAATCTGTAATATTCCAGATGTATCAATGGTGTAAATTTGGTTAAGTCTTTGAGTAAAATCCTTTAAGATACCATAGATAACACACAACTAAAATGCAAAAACATTATTGAGGATGCTTTAACAGCTGCTGGACCAGGAAAAGCCACATTTAGTAGCAGTATCTGATCATGACCTGAAGTAGCCAAGATGAAAACTATGGTCCAAATGTAGTTGGCCCGTCATTTGAAGTTGCACCCTTTACCCTAACAGTAATATAAATATGGTACAGCTGAACAATTTGTATTACAACATCCCACTCATCAACATAAATATGTAGATATACTGCTGTCCTTTCCTTCACAGATCACCAATATTTTGCTCCAAAAATATGAAATTAGTTGAATTTGAAAATGAACCAATTATCTGAATTATTATTTCATAGCTCACAGCCCTGTGGGACCAACACATAAATTCAGACTCAAAAAGAAGAGGATGGGCTAATAACAGGACAATAAAAACTGCCATAGATATGGGTAGTGGGTCTATTGCCAGATAAAAATGATATCTCTCAGGAAGCTACCATTTTTATCAATAAGAATAAAATTGAACTTTGTTTAATTTAATCCATTCATAATCATCATTTCTCTCTGTCCATCGTTTAAAACATTTTTTCAATTGAGTATGAAATTAATTTTTCAGATAGTAATAGCACATTCTTTTTTATGAATCTTCATCTTGTATTCAGATGACATTGCAACAACTAAATCAAAAATAAAATTATCTTTCATAAATAAGAATATTTTAGTCTTTTAGATGATACATTGTAAGGAAATGATCTAAGAAGGACAGAAAAGTGGCTCTACAAATATCAATATAAGTAAACAAATGGTGAAACCAGTGTTTCATGTACCTTGGTTCCTATTAATACACATCGCCAATATTTTCCCCAATTCAGGGGCTTTTTACCCAATGAACCATCAAAAGCAAAGGCAGAAATCCATGTAGCCATGCCTGACAGGGGATTCCCCTATTCATAACAATTTTATGACGTCACGTCAAGAATGCATCATAACGTCCAAAATGCATTTAGCTTGTAACATTAACATCACATTTTGTATATGATACACAATGAGGTTACAGGGTAAGAGAAAAAGAATCATTTGCCCCCTTGAGGTGAGATTGGGAACCTCTTCTTAAGTTGCCAAACGCATGACAATACTCATGTATGGCAACTCTACAATCTTCCCCCTCTGGTTGAGAATCTCTTCTCTCACTCCCAAGGGGGTGAGGGATTCTATAAGTCTTTTGGATTCAAAGGTTAGGACCTTACCTTCCGCACTCTGTTTAACACCCAGTACACATCTACATTTTTTCAGTTTATCACCATGTAAAAATTTCAGAGGGATTAATCAAAGGTGTTGATGGATGGACAAATGGACACTGAATAGGCATGCCCTAATTAATCAACATTCAATAACTCATTCACCCCTGAAACTTCATAATGGACTATTCCAACCTTTGAATTGGAAGAGTTCAAATGTGTCTTCAGGGATGAATGAGTTAATTTGAAATAACTAAAGAAAAGTAATTGTTAAACAAAAGACAAATGCAATAGATCACACAAAACTGATAACCTAATAATATGCTATACCTCACATTGTTAATTCATTTGGTATTAAAGGAATTAATAACCTTTACATATTTGTATGTATAGCAAATATTTCTAAAAACACAAAATTCATGAGCACAATGAAGCACAAAACATGTAAAGAAACCTTTGACTCACATGGATGCTTGAATAGTACCACAGATTAATTAACACATACATGTACAGACAAGTGAATGAAATAGGTAACTAATGACAAATTTTGAATTGCAGGACACATGTTGAAATTGTATTTTTCATAAAATGCCTGTTGACACAAACAACTGTATATGTACATAACTGCAACACATTGGTCAGGAAGAGTGAATCAAAATTCGTAATATAGACAGGATGCATACAGCTTTATAAAATACATCAATGTTAGTTAATAAAAAGCAATAAGCCATTCAAGTGCATTTGAGTCCAAAGTTACGCATAATAAAGACAGTAGGTCCGGTATATGATTCAATTTAGTACCAGTGACTACCGCTACAGGCCGTCTGTGTGAAATCGACATTTATGAATATCTGAGCTCATTAACTAAAGTAATACCAATAGCTGGCGGCTAACGCCTTAGCTAAAAACATATTTACCTGTCGGTCTGGGGTAGTTCTCTTGCGACATTGGGTCACAGGTCGGCTGCACCTAATGTCCATCCTGCAAATAAAAATAATATATATGCATTATTATCTCCCTTGAAATGTGAGCAAAATTTGCTTAGTTGGTAATTACACTTGAAATATACTCAAACCATGAAATCAGATTTAAATATGGCATTACATCAATCATGAACTTTTTCTTTTTGTAATGTACACTTGTATATGTATATCTAAAAATATTTGACTAAAATCAATATTTCTTTTATGTTATCTAATGGTATATCAACCAACGAACGACAAACAAAATAGACAAGTTCACTTTGTAGAACTTTAAAATAGCTATACATCTGGTAAATAGTGAAGTGTTACAATTGATCACATATCAACTGTAATTAAGGCATTGAAGAACCTGTAGATTATTTACAAGTTACGATTACACTTTTCAAAACGATAAATACCCACAGGGTTAACAAAATCAGGAATAACATGTACATTAATATACATACCAGAACCGCCGACGGATTTCCCATGCTGTTCTCATGGACGACGCTGTAAAGGAGAGCAAACAATTAAAATTCAATCTTTTGGTGAATGGGGGCTGTGACTTTTGAATTAGAAAATTTGTGTACGTTGCAGTCAACCAAATTATCGGTGTGTTTCCCAAATTACAGTATAGCCCCGTTATACCTCCAACTTCTGTCAATTGACATTTTGGCAGTACAACGAGTTCTCCCATTAATTGACAAGTGATCTACGTATATATGTACATATACATATTTTTGTTCAGCCGTTTCCTCTTTGGACAAGCCATGGTATGAATGATGAAAACTTAACAAACCGAGGTAATATATTGGTGAATTGTATTCAGGTGTTAATCAACAAGGCACACATACTACATTGTATACGTAATGACAACTTACAAAACTGACCCACGGGGCTCACTCAGCTGTGAAATCAACGACACAGGTAAATTTCTGCGACATAGCGTGGCAGTGTTATCAGGGGCCTCTGGACAACAAGAAATGTTATGCCAGGGGGGGAAAAAAATCAGAATTGCAAAGGGCTATAACTCTAATAAAAATCGATGCAGGATCCTGATTTTAAAATCCTTAACCTCATGCTGATTCAATATGCATGTATAACTATGGAAGGAAAATGTATATTTATACAGAGTAAAATCCTGTAGTTTAAGGAGCTGTGGAATGTTTACCAAATGTTATCAAATGTCAATTTATGGCTTTATGAGTGTTGCTGAATGTTATCAATTTATATTCGTCTCTGAGGCTTTTATTCCCTGTGGGACTAGTTGCACTCAATTGCAAATTTAGGCCATATTATAACTCTTGTAAGAAATGACACAGGATCCTGCATCTATAATAAGCATATCTTCATATGATACCTGTGACACTACAAACTTTGGTAACATTTGGGTGAAAACCATAGGATGCACACAAGAACAAATATGTTTCAAAGGACTGTAACTCTTGTAGAATTGACACAGGAACCTCCATATATAATAAGCATATCTTCATATGATCCTCGTGACAAAATTGTGTACAATTGAAAACTGGAAATAGTTGCAATCACAAGAAATATTTGCCAAATTATAAAAAGATTCATCAATCACAAGAAATATTTGCCAAATTATAAAAAGATTCATAACGTTTGTAAAAATTGATGCAGTATCCCGCTATTATGCAAATCTTCATATGATACCCTATGACTCTTACAAAAGTCCAAAGGGTCATAACTCTTGCAAAAATGTATGTAGTATACTGCCTTAATAAAATGCAAATCTTCACATGATTACCAAGTACATCTAATTATGTGAAAAGTCGCTCATCAAGGGCGTCCAACAGAAGCTATACATAGTGTACGTCTATAGGTATAATATCAATAGATCCAAGATCATATAATCAGTTAATTCAAACCTAGACGTCATTTTGAAAGTGATAATTCGCCAAGAGATGTATAAAAGGCAATCAATATCGAAATTATTGAATCAGAGAATAAACCTATAGATCAGTATCGATGTGACAACGTGATGAACGCATATTTTGCCAACATAATGGCTTACCCAAATGTCAGTCCATGAGGGTCCACAGCGCGGGAAGAAGTGACGCGAACTCCGAGCTCGTTCTACTATGTGCATGTGACCAAGTGTATTTTCATTGGCCGAGAGGTTAGCACGAACTCAGTTTTCACATGCCGGGAACTAGGGGTCTTTGAGGGTGCAGTTATGAACAGTACCTCTACTGAAGGAAATTTTATGAAAGATTCCTTAGTGAAGAAACACCGAAATGAGTGTCTTTTCTACAAGAAATATCAACCGTTTTAGTGTCTTGTTTTCCCCCTCCTACATGCAACTTTGCAGACGTTGTGTCCCTATGCGAACCCCAGCTAAGGTTTGATAATTAAACTTTTCGTGACACTCATCACAAAACCAATCTTTGACTATATATTACTTTCTATGTCTGCGTTTTTAACAAATCCTGAGAGACTAATATATTAAATTGTTTAACTTGATATATTTCACCACGGAATTAGATTATCGCATTTTTGTTATTTTGAAACAAAAATAAGCTGCCGAAACATGTTTGGACCTGTCCCCCTACAATACTTTATGATACACAATATACTTTGAACAAAAATGTGTGTCGAGGTGTCGAGAAAAGCAAAACTGAGTGTAGAAGCTCCCCTTTTACATGTAAAAATATCTCTAACATATATTTCTCACTCAGAGTCCTATTTTGTGATATTTTGTTATTTAACGAAATGAAAACGTGGTAATTAAAATCAGAGACGTATATAATCTCTGTAATATATACGTCTCTGCTAAAATCAAGCATATAGTTATTAGTTATCGAGTATCTGAAAAAAGTACATGTAGTATGGGTCATATTTGATGTTTAACGGAATTAACGCCGAGTGGAGCGAGACGACCTTTTTGTATTTTGCGAAATGCTTTTCACATATTTTGTTACATGCCAACTGCTTTGTACTGGATGAGAAACACGTTTGCCAAATGTGATCATGGTGATTGTGTCCACGTGATTACTAATTTTTCGCGGGAAAACGCGTGAAACTAGAGATTGATGAACAAATTAAAGATGCCCGGAAGATGGGTGCGACACAATTTTGGCCGGTAAGTCCAATTATTGCCATGGCTACGGTGAAAAAGTTATATATAAATTAAAAATTATGTGTGAATGTTGACCAAATTTAATTTTGCCCATCCTGTGCCCGTCTTAGGCCTGTCACGAGTAGGCCTGAGCGAGATACCTCAGATGGCCCCAGGACACCACGGCGGATCGGGTGTGTTGTATACCACGTTAGACATGGAGTAACACTACCCACAGGTCTCTGTAGTTATAAAAGTATATATAAGTACATGCATATAGGCCGTTACCGGACCCTGTCCCGGTTCATCTAGATATGCTAGATAAGAGGTCAGTGAAATCGAAATGGTTGTTTACATGTGTCAACGATATTCATCAGATACCTTGTCTATGAACAAAGAGGAGACATCAACTGTGCAAAACAAAAAGTAAATATTGGGAACTTCACAACAAATAAAGAAAAAAAAGGTGACCATTCCTCGCTCTATACACCCTGTCATAGCAAAATTGAAGGCACGAAGATAGCTGTTTGATTGGTCTCGGGTAAAAAAGTCTGACCAATCGCTAGGCTGATACCTGTCCTTTGAAGATTACAAAGGAGAGACGCCCGACTTCAAAGCCTGTCAATTTTTACCGTTACGTGACCGCGAGATTCTTTTGATGTACATCAAAGGATCGAACTAGTCTTCTTGTCTCATCAACAAGGTGGCGCACACCAAGCCTTAAATTCTGCTATGACATATTTCAGGGATGTAGAGAGCGAAAGTGAGCGGAACCCCTGGATAATCTAACGTCGTATATATGTCTAACATAGAACATGAGCTCTATAGAGCTATTATTACGACGAAACTCGTAAAAGTAACAAGAAATAAAAGCTGGGTTACATTTAAAACATGCTACATGTACCAAAATCTTAGAGACACGCAACTGAAGTCTGGTATTCGTTATTTTTTTGATAAAAAGAACCCCAATACCACACATGGTTAAAAGATTCAGGGTAGGTAGGTTGTTGAAAAAAATCGTTTTTAGAAAAAACTATTTTTACAAGGGTTATAAAGGAGAGTGGTCATGACTTTAACTGTGCTTCCTTGAATATAACAATAAAAAGTTTAGGGTAGGCACAAAAAATAGGGTCCGGTAGGGTAACAAGAAACAAACAATATTTTTGTTATGCCTTAAAATGATTATTTTGTTATAACTATTAGAGGAATAAAATTGATTGGAATCCAACAAAGACTAACATTGTCAAAGGGCAAGGTTATTGGGTCAAAGTCACAGGGGAGTTAGTAATGAACAGGAAATATGTCCAATAAAGGTATAATGAGCTAATGGCATGGTGCGGCGTGGTGCTGTGTCCGTCCGGCCTCAACTTTTTAGTTTAATCAACTTCTTCTGAATAACCAAGAGGCCTTGGGTGATAGTGTTTGGCTAGTAGAATGCTGTCATGAAGGGCAACAAGCTTTGTTCAAATGAATGACCTTGACATATATTCAAGGTCACATGTGTCAAATATGTTTAAAACCTTTAAACGACTTTTTCTGAATAACCAAAATGCCTAGGCTGATGATAATTGAGCAGTGACTTCAAGGATGAAGGGCTATCAAGTTTGTTCTAATAAATAACCTTGAACCATGTTCAAGGTCACAGGGTTAAAATATCATACCTTTAACAACTTCTTCTGAATAGCTATAAGGCCGATACCGTTGATATTTGGCCAGTAACATGCTTGGGTGAAGGGCTATTAAGTTTGTTTTACATGAATGACCTTGACGTTATTCAAGGTCGTAGGGTTCAAATATGTTTAAAACCGTTAAACAACTTCTTCTGAATAAAAAAGAGGCCAAGGTGTTGATATTTGGCGAGTAACATGCTTGGATGCAGGGCTGCCAACTGTGTTCAAATGAATGACCTTGACTGATGTTCAAGGTGACAGGAATTAAATATGTTTAAAACCTTGAAACAACTTCTTCTGAATAACCAAAAGGCCAAGGATGATATTTGCCCAGTGGAATTCCAAGATGAAAGGCTACTAAATTTGTTCAAATAAATGACCTTGACATATATGTCAAGGTTACAGTGGTCAAATATGTTTAAAATCTTTAAACAACTTCCTCTGAATAACAAAGAGGCCTAGGGTGTTGATATTTTGCCAGTTACATACTGGGATAAAGGCCTACCAAGTTTGATCTAATGAATGACCTTGACTTATATTCAAGGTCACAGGGGTCAACTATTTTAAAACCATTAAAGGACTTCTTCTGGAATGAGATATTACTTCTTTAGCAATAGGTCACCTCACATAACCTATTCTATGAAATGTTTTTTTACCTGTGAACTTTCAACAAAGTCAACATCTTCAAAATTACTCGTCCGCCTTAACTGAATTTGGTGTACAGATGCAATATCTTTCACATTTGTTTAATATATGCCCTCACCTGCAACAAAGTTAGATGGGTATATTGAAATTTTCTTGTCTGTCTGTCAGTGGACACTGTTTGTCCAGACAAGTACTCCCATCATTATTGACCAATTTCAATAAAACTCCACACTTACATGTATATTATTTACCCCATAAAGTTGTGCACCTGCGCATTATTTTTTTATTCCGACCACTTTTTACAGTGTTATGCCCTTTTGTTAAAAACATGACAAATTTTGTTTGGACAATTACTCCTTCAATTATTTCGTTTCCAGAGTATATCTATGGTACAATTTGATGTAGAATCATCAATGTTTATGTGTGGATATATCTTGGGTAGATTCTGTTTCACGTATGAGAAGTAGATCACTGTGACTTGTATTTTGACCTCTGCTCATAATGAAGTGAAAACTGTTTCCGGAGCATATAAAGTAGGATCTGACATCAAACTATCTTGGGAAGTTGGACAATTTTTTTAAATTGTGATGTTGAATTTTAAAAAAAGTCGGCGAATGATTTTCTTGTATTCAGCATTTTATATGTCATAAATCAATCATTTACCCCTCCTTGATATTCCCGCCATGAAATGGGGCGGGGCTATACTGGGTATTGTGTTATGTGTCTGTCACCAATCGTTTATGTTGTCCGATGTACAAGGCTATATCAAGTTGATTCTTAGCTCTCTTGGTATATTAATGGAGTTCAGTATTTTATTGTAAGCGAACACATTTAAAAGCTTACTGCCGAAGAAAAAACATTTCAGAACATGATATTAATGAAAATATGTATATTTACCGATATGCATATATTTGCCATTTTTATGGGATGCGCTTAGTCGCTTACAAATGTTAATTAAAAACACAACTATTTTCTTCGAAACTTTAATTTAGCGGCCACTCAGAACAAATAATCAATTTCATGAGGCCTAAGGAAACTATAACTTGGTAAACAGAATATATAATATAGCTAAGCCAATGTGGGGAAACCACGGGACTCATGAATTCCAGTCAAGTGCATATAAATTGTGTTGTTTTCTTGCAATGCTCTATCAACTTTAAAAAAAACTGACTAACAATGTTCCTTGTCTGTAGTCTTAGATACTCTGTGGTCTGCTTCCTTAGTCACGTGACTGACCGACGGTCATTAAACCCTAGAGGGGTCCCCTAATTGCTTAGCGTCATCAGTCAGTTTTAATTGTTGCAGTGAGACTCAGTATAAGTCCCAATTTTGTATGCAAATTTAAGACATTTATAAATTATGTTGAAAGAAATGTTTTCAATGAACACAGCTTGGAGTAAACTAGCAAGAAATGTCCTGGATTGGAACTCTAACATAAGTGTTCTCTATCTAAAGTTACGTGCTGTAAAAAGTTAAGATCAATTCAGAAAACAAGAAATATGATCTCAAAATTATCCGGTAAATGCCAATTATTTTCTAGCAGAATGCTCAATGCCCATCTGCTGAATCGGGTCAGGTCTGAAGTCAGTGTGCAGATAATAATATACAGTTTTACAAAGTGCATCTTCAGTGGCATTTACGGCTTTCCCTTGTTCTGTGACATCATGATAAGCAGGATAATTAAATATACAATTTGGTACACCAGTGGGACAGGTAGCGTTCTTCATTGCCTTCGTCCTATGTGTATTCCATATATTTGTATACAAGTACAGCTCCTTGCACAGAATGATTATAAAACAAAGTTTCAGACATTCACGGTGAAGGATCTTTATCAAGGGTTCCTCATAGCTGATCTTTGAAAAGATCCATGTACCATTGCAGAATTGCTGGTCTACAATACCCCCACCACTGATCAATCCTTCGGTTATGACAGACTTCCATGGTTATGATTAGAAGACCCGTACATTTCAGATGAACTGACGAGGTCTTCCTCATGAGATGAACGGAATAGCATTTGGCAATCCGCAACTCCTACATATCCTGTTCCTCTGTCCATCCTCACAATCCTTGATACCAAGTGAAATTTCTCCGCAGCTTCAAATAAATATGTACATATCAGATTGGGGTCTTTGTTTGTACATTAAATATCACAATAACAAAATAGAGCTAATATATACACATTTTATTGGTTTTTCAAAGGACACTTTATTCAATGATGGCAAAGTATCACTGACGTGCGTAACTTCCTGGAGACACACGGCCGTCGTATGCGGTGAATATAACATCAATATCCTTATCATACAACTGTGCATTTATGCGAGCAAAACGATTCATCATAGCATACTGGTACTTTAGGGATCAAGTTTAAGGGACCTGCAAATGTTAATGCCAGCCTTGAAAGTCTTTGCAAATGCTCGCATAAAGCAACACCAATCACTTGGTCCGTCATCATTTCATAAGCGTACAATTCTGGTTTATCCAGGTCTAACTGTTTCGAACGGGATAAAAGAAAACGGCCCTGTACTTATATATGGTCATGTATAAGTTGGTACCTTATCCCTCAAACTGGTGATCCCGGGTGGAATCAATGTTGGACAAGTTCTATCTGTCCTGTCTAAATACTGTACACTTCACTAGTGGTTACATGAGATCACTTTCTAAATTTGTTTTCCTTTTTTTCAATCTGTCCCAGTGCCTTGTATATTTCTCTTTTCGTTTCTTTTTGTTTCTGCTGTTTCTTTGAGTCTATCAATGCCTGTTTTTTCTGGTGGTTTGAAACCCGCTGTCTCATCGATGATCTATCCATCTTCTTTTTGTGGTCATGTAGGGTCTTCATCATGTTCATTAATTTAGCAACCTGTAAAACGAAAAGAACAGTGATCAACATGTGTTATAATTTCTTGAATTAAACCCTCAGAATTTTTAAATTTGGCAAAACCCTCAGCAAAGTCTCGGGTTTTACCAAATTTTACAATTCCTCGGGTGGAATTTACCTATACTTCACCCCTGGGCATGAAAGAGTCTTATATTATTAACAGCAAATCAACATTTCAAGAAAAAGTACCTCCATATCCCCCCTTCAAATACAGTAAACTTATTTATAGCTTTAGTACAAAACAGGCAGAAACTTTTAAAATTCCGAAGTTGAAAGTGATGTAAGTAATATTGACCTTAGTTTCTTTTGGTTCCCTGATAACCACGACACGTTTCACAGGGTCTTTCTTGGCCCGTAGTATTTTTGGTGTGTCCTTGAACGGAAGATTCTTCTGTAGCGCCCGAGGAATTGTGAGTGGCCTCTGATGGTACATCTTTCTTTCCATTGGCTGAAATATCAAAGGAACTCTTCATGTACAACATATTAAATCTAATTTCAAGAAAGGCAACATCACCTTTTTACATAAAACATTAGTTTACAAACGTGCTAAAAAAGTTTAAAATAAAGGTCTTAAATGAAGTTTTTATGTTTTCCTTGGAAAACTTGACAATGTATTTCAACATTCTTGTGGCAAATTAAATGTTAAGTGTTACTGATCTTAATTTTGAATAATAATTATTTCGATAAACGGACTTGTTTAACATATTGAGATATCAACAAGGTTGACACAATTTTCAAACATTAAAATACATTTAAAGTATCCTTTACAATACTTATAACATTTGCCCAACAAAATATTTGAAAACCTTTGATTAAATAATGTGACAGGTAAATAAACAAGTAACCACTGAAGACTAATATTCAGTATCAAGCTCTGTACATGTGTACCTTGTAGAGGGAATCCTTATTTTGTGTAAGAGTTCTTCCCCTTTCCCACCTTAGCTGGCCAACAGTTTTCATGCCAATCCAAGCTGTCTTCTGTTCATGGGGGAGCAGCAGTGACGTCACAGGGTTATAGAACTGGGGAACCTCCACTGGGTACCACGTTCGCAGGAACACAATGTCTGTACAGAGCAGAAGGTAAATCATCTCAAGATATACACGTATCTCACATGCTGAAGTATTATGACAAATATTAGCTGGTAATAAGTTAACTCACTCACCCTTGAAGACATATTTGAACCCTTCAAATTCAAAGGTTGGAATAGTTCATTACGAAATTTCAGGGGTGAATGAGTTAAGGAGCATTATCACCTAGAATTTCATCATCAATGTAGACTGTTATGTTTGTACATTGTTTCGGATGGCCAAGTCAACCATTACCAGATTAGTTTTCATTTTTACAGTTAAGGTGCAAATTAGAGTTCTCAATATTATGTTACAGAAGTCAATATCTTGTCAATGCTAGGAGTCAAACCTGGGACCTCTGGCTTACTAGTCTTATGCTCTACTGAATAATCTTAAGAGAAATTATTTCTAGCTGAGTCAGTAAGAAGCGGCTTGTATTCTACCAGTGTGATGACATACTCCCCCTCCAGGAAAGAACTCGGCCGAGTTTTCCAGGGGTCATAGCGATTCTTGTGAAAGTATCGCTGAGTATATTCATCAATATTACCCAGGTCCCTACATGGGAGCTTATGTATTAGAAGTCATTTTTTTTCAATGCCTCTGCTAGGAGTTGAACCCAGGACCTCTGGTTTACTAGTCTTACTCTCTACTGAATGAACTTAAAAGAAACTCTCCCTAACCGAGTTGGTAGCCAGCGGCTAGTATTTTTCAAGGGTGACAATTATATCAGTAACTGTAAACAATCACATGATATGTGATATAACAATGTCTACCCAGAGTTTGGTTTCAATTAATTTTATTGAGCTAACCCAGAGTTGTTGTTTCTTACACCTCTGTCAATGGATAAAAAGTAGTTTGAATTATAAAAAGCCACTGATCATGTGACCATTTGGTCATGCACTGTAAAACCGTACAATATGGTGCCCTTGGACACGATCAACTACTAGTGTGATTTTTTGAGACCAATATTATAATATAAGCAATTTTAATAATGTATCAATTTTATGTCGGTCAAATTTCAAAGATCCATAACACCAACAAATTTACAGGTAAACAGTCAGTGATATGAGAAAAAACAGTTGGTAGAATTGTGATAACTCCATTACTCTAATTTAACCGCAGCATGTAATCCTACATTTATCTTTTTCCAAACTTATGCCAGATTCTATTTGATATTTTCTTTTAACATACCACTGAGCAGAATTTTGTCTTCAAATGTGGCCCTGAATGCTCCCTCTGGTGTTCGAACAGCTTTCTTCACCTGGCCACGTATACCACTGACAGTCTTTATTTTGGCACCCTCAAATTTGGTCACTTCCAGGCCACTGTTAAACATTCCCTGTAAAGAACACAACAACTGGTTTATATGCTTGTATAGGTTAGCGACAGCATTCATAGATTGGCCCTCAATGACTTAAATTGTCGATGGGCCATAAAACAATACAAAAACAAAAACAAGCCATTCATAGTTGGTTTTATACAAGTGTGTGAGGTGTAATAATCGGGAACATGTACATCAAGATTCCGGTCATCTGGAAAGCTATCACCTAAATTTTGGGATATTGAGTAGCGAGGAACTCCTTATCACTCCAAGCACTTTGAGTTCCAACCCCATTATTTTCATAATAAACAGATTGAAATGCTTTTACTCCAAAAAATTAAAGTGTTTGGATTAACCAGGATGCACTTTACATTCTTAAATCGCTGTAAAATGTGTCCAGATCAGATATTGATCTACTTGATCTGCAATTTGGGCATACATATCCTGAAGTGGTATGTGAAACATCACCTTCCATCCTACATATCACTTAAATTATTATCTTACATTTAACCCTAAAATTACACTGAGTCACCTTCAGCGAGTCAATAGTTACAGCCTGGACAATGAATTTGACTTTGGACCTTAACGTGACCTTGACCTTAGGTGTACAGACTCATGAGTGGTATGTGACCCCATGACTTGCCATCCTACATAGATTCCTCAAATTTCATTGAGATATCACCAGAGTCTAAACAATGAATTTGACCTTTGAACTCAATGCGACCATGATCTTGGGCATACAGACCCAATTACAGTTTGCACCACACTGCCTTGCCATAGTACATTTATAGCCATAAGATTTCACTGAGCCATCTTCAGTGGGTCTAAAAGTTATGGTCCAGACAATGAATTTAACCGTTGACTTAAATGTGAGCTTAGCTTTGGGTATACTGTCCCTACAGTGGTACACAACACAAAGCCTTGCTATCCTACATATATATATTTGTAAAATTTCGTTGGGCTATATATCTAGCAAGTCAGAAGTTATGGACTAACAATTTAGATGGACGAATGCACAGACAGACAAGGTGGTGTTGACATGCTCCTGGAAATATTTTTCCGGGGAGCATAATAATTAACCAAGCACTGGTTGAGATTAACCCTTCTCTCAGACTTACCTGGATGAATGCAGTTTTCTTGTATATTTTCTGGGGTGTTCCTGTAAGCTTGAGTTTCTTCACTATGTCCAATTTCTTGTCCATCTCCAGAACAACTCCGGTTGCAGCTATCCGAAACCCAGGCTGAACAACAAACATTACGAATTGAACGTACTGGATTTTTTTTATTCATGATTGAAAGTAAGTGTGTCATCATTCCACATTTTCATAAAATATTTTAACTTGGAAAAAAAAAAAAAACTATGAAATAAAAACTATGAAATATATTTTTTGATTAGATTTTCATTACTTTAAACATTTAACCCTTTCACCACTGTAAACCATAATGGACTTATCCATATCAATGCATGGACGAGTCTATTAAAGTTACATAGGGGTGAAAGGGTTAAAGTACCATTGATATTATACAGTATCAACAAAACCAGCTCTCTGATACCCAGAGTACCACACCTACATGACATCACTGAAACAGTATATTTTCATAAAATTTCTTTGGTTCACACTATAAAAGAACATTAAGTGCAGAAAGAGTTAAAAATAAATTTATATCAAACTTAAGAAAACAAATCATAAATACAAATGTACATGTATATCGACAGTTACATTGGTATGCCTTTATTCTCACAAATCTGGTACATGTACATATATTTACTTATCATGTAACGACAAAAACTACTTTTGGTAAATTCAAGTGGGATAAGGACAGGGTAACTTTATATATTCCACTGATACACACACAAGCTTAAGCTACTAACCGATACATCGGAGACACTTTCAATGGCCAGGAAACCTGTTCCCTGTGGTGTCAAAGGACCTGTGTGAAATGATAAATCATATTATACAAGTGAAGAAAAAGCAACAATATTTTTCTTCTTGGAATGTATTCAACTGATGATATAGAATAACAAAATGATGATCAATTTTTACAAACAACAAGAGATCCCAGAGGGATCTTAGCACCCAGCATTGTAACATCTTCATTAGTTCTACGTCAGTTTGATCTTTTCTCCTATCTGTTTGATTGAGTCATGTAAACAGTAAATGTACTACCCTGAGGTAACTTGTGATCTAACCTTTATACTGCTGTGTATAAAAGACAACCTCCAAAGTGAGTTAGTCATTTCGCATATTTACTACTACAGTACTTAATGAGAAAGGAATAGAACCAATCATTGCAATATATGAGAGAGATCTATTTAGTACAGATGATTGTGTGCTTAATAGAAGTAAACAAACAATGGTATTGTTATCATTCTGCTTCAACTAGTCAGTAACTAGATAGCAAGACATATACACTCAATGATTATCATCATACATATATATATATAAGCTTTATGGTTTTTTCATTTCAAAATATTTTACTAAATCCTTCAGATTTAATGGGAATTGGGAGGCTTTATGTCACCCTGTTAAAATACTTACTGCTTCCTATTGATTCAGCTGGGGAGAATGTTTCTTCAGCTTATTAGGTAGAGCATAGGCCTAGTAAACTAGAGGTCCTGGGTTGGAATCCTAGCGGAGGCATTGAAAAATAACTACCTCTTGGTGCCCACGTAGGGACCCAGGAAGTATTGTCAAAATACCTAGCAATACTTTCACAAAAATAAACCCTGGAAAACTTGGGACTAGTTCATTCCTTGAGAGGGAGTATATCACCCTGGTAAAATACTAGCTTCTTCCTACTGACTCAGCTTGGGACAAATCTACTGGTATACCTCAGAAGACTGAGTGACTGCAGTTAGTGTTGGACATCAGCTGCCAAAAAATGATCAACTCTCTGGATTTGTATTTCAGTTGACTTATTTTGTATGAATTATAATACTAGTGAAGGTATGATTATCGTGATAAATAAGAATGATTCATCAATTTCCAGACACAAACAATCCAATGTCGACAAAATTGCTGAATTGGAACAGCACTAGTGGCACCTGTTTTATACTTAAGCACCTACCCCAGAAGACGGAGTGACAGTGAAGATGTTCTGGTGTGTATTTTAACAGCCGGTTCCTGTAGTTGTGGTCTTGGATGGCGTACAGGGGCAATGTTTGGAATCTTCTCCATCCAAGGGAGACAATCAGTGGGTTCCTTGTCTTCAGAATCTTTTTATGCCATCTGTGTTTCTTTAAACGTGTCTGAACAAAACAGAAACAGAAGTGTTATTAAATGATTACAGCATTAAAACATTTGAAGGATGTTTTCCCACATACAAAGTTAATTTTTCTCCATTTAACATATATAGAACTGATCATCTCAACATGTGGGGGGAAAAAAAAGAGTGTAAATCACAAGTTAAATATTTTTGTGTTCATGGACACAATCAGATATGCTGGCCTATCTAACACTGCCCCCCCCCCCCCCCCCCCCCCAAACATATTTGTCAAACATTAGGAAATTGCAGATTTTAAGATTGACTTGGTTTAAAAGTTTGATTCATTTTTAATTCAGATACCTGGAAGAAGGCAAATGTAACCAGATGCTGCGTCTGGCTATACCGATCTTGGAATAAACTCGCTCTCAAATATGATAAACATTATTTCTCCCACAATCCCTTTAGGTTTCCTCCCAATTCATTGGATAAACACGCTAGGAGTTGGTAACATTTTTGGTTACCAACTACTGGGTAAAACCCAGGATGTGATTTCATTGGTCAACTTATGACGTCATGTAACAAGGCTTTGCGACGTCATCTTCCATTGTGACGTCATGATTCACGGCCATAGTTTCCCCCCCATCAGATGCCTACATAGTGTATTTTCAAGGCATATGGCTTTCCAGATAAAATATGAACGTTATGGGAGAAAAAGGATCCGAAACCCGTGATGGTAGGTTATCATGTTTATCTAACTCTCGTTAATTGATTTTAAAATTGTAAAAGACTCGGTAAACCTGGTGTCTTTATACAATTTAAAAATTTACTGAACTCGAGTTAGATTAACATGATAACCAACCAATACTCGTTGGGGAACCTCTATTTCTATCTTTCACTTACAATAAATTCAAGAAAACAGTTCCATACCTGGAGGTAGCCAACGTTACTCTCTACGTTGAGTAGAGCGCCTAGGATCACAGGATAGCTGGGGTCGAAGTTTGTGACAAACTCGCAAGGCATGTTGTTCACCTCCACACGTACATACATCCCCGGTCGGAATCCTTCGTAACCTACACGAACATCATCATCCATGTTTTCAAACTCTGCACGATTAAGCTGTAAAACAGGAAAAAAAAATCCATTATTTTTCTAACATATGAGAAACAGATGATTTTCAAAATGTCCATATACATGTATCCTTTTTAAAGAAATAAGCTGGTAAGAACTTACTTCGTAAAAAGATGTAACAGGGACAATTATTGTTATGTGTAATGGATGTCACAATTGGTACACTCAATTATATTGTTCTGAAGTCGGATCTGAACGAAGAAAATTGTATTTTCAATTACAGTGACCTGTGACGAATTGACTAAAACCATGGGTTCATCATCTTCTCTAGGGCAAACAACATATATTTTGACCTTTGTGCAGTCAATTGTTCTGAAGTAAGCACTGAACAAGAAATATAAACAAATTTCCAATCAGCCTTATTGATAGAAATAACCTCCCATCCCCACACTATTGATTACTGCATAGGTGGAAATTCTCGCATGTGATATTTAAAACGGATGATGCTAAAAATAAATTGAAATTTAAGGCTTTTCAAGAGCTAAACTTCAAGCATTTCTTGGGCACCTTTAAATGATGAGGCTCCACAAACTTGTCAGTTCACAATAGAATGTAAACATCTTTTTCATTAACTTATACGTATACACCTGTTTGTATCATGACTTGGGAAGCTTTCTCCATTTAGGGTAAAAAACAGTTTACCAAGAACATGAGATTTCTCTTAGCACCGTATGTCACTAGTCAGCTAGGTTAAGCTGAGCAGCCGGCTTAATTAGTGCAGTATTGTCATATCTAATATTTATTATTGTAAAAATCCATGATGGGAAACCGACATACTAAATTTGAGAAAGATCCCTACAGAGCCAAAATTGTCAATATCCAAGATGGCCACCGGTTGACCATACACAAAAATGTGAACTTACAAACTTGTAAGAACCCTACACCAGTTTACAATAGAATACATCTGTATGTAAATGTCTTTAAACTTATACAACTGTTTGTATCAAGACTTGGGAAGTTTCCTCCATTTAGGGAGAAACCAGTTTACCAAGAACATGAAATTTCTCTTAGCACCGTATGTCACTAGTCAGCTAGGTTAAGCTGAGCAGCCGGCTTAATTAGTGCAATATTTTCATATTTAATATTTATTAAAAGTATGAAGTAATGGAGATATCATGGGTGTGGGAAACGCTTATAATAATGTTAATTGGTAGTGACCTGGATAAGCTTTCTGATGAAGTTCAACCTTCTAATATTATAAGCAGCAACTGTTGGTGTTCCTATATCTACATCCATATATATTCCAATAATATTGACAATTTCAAATGTATATGTGGTTGATTCTAATGTTTATCAATATGAAATTGGAAATACTAATATTCATGATACTAATATAGAAGTGCAATTTGTAATTTTTGATATTTTTTTTCATTTTCCATACATATATATGAATGTATGAATTAAGAAACAGTATTGAAAAATTTGATAATATATCACAAACAAATCCCATATTCTGAATTTGTATTGAGCTGCAATTTAATTTACAACCATAAGAATTTGTAGATTCAACCTTAACTACTCTCAGAGGATTTTTGTTTTGGTAAGAAAGAGGAGACAGAATTAACACTCTAAAACAATTTATACAGTACACACCTCAGAGGTTCCATGATAAGATCTCTTCATTGAGCTCAGGTATCGAAAGATCATCACTTGTGTGTACATTAATTAATTTCCCTCAGCATGCAGTGTTTTCTCAAGCTTTTCAAATCATGGGGCCACTCTGGCCCCTCCTTGTTAACAAGAGATCCTAGAAGGATCTTGGCACCCACCATGAAAGGATCTTAATCAGATCTACAAAACACAACCTTTTTCTTTCTTTGCCTTTTATTCTATACCCATTCCCATCTTGGAAATGATATCCTAAACAGGAATCTTGTACACTACCTTATACCTTGTACTGTCATATGTTTACCTTATACCTTGTACTGTCATATGTTTACCTTATACCTTGTACTGTCATATGTTAATTGCCACTATGTCAAATGTTATTGCATCAGAATTGTATAACAATATTCAAAGTGCTAGAGCTGGCAATGGGTGATGAATACTTGTTAGGGTCAGAAATATTTTTAATAAGGGGACCAAAGTGAACATACATATAAAGTATAAGAAAGTTCCCCTAAGTACTTTCTGGAAAGCTTCTAAATACTCGATTGAAATTAAGGCCCTTTCAGAAGTAAAACTTCAAGGATTCCTTGGACATGTTTAAATGTAAAGGCTTTACAAACTTGTGTGAACCCTTCACCAGTTTACAATAGAATACATCTGTATGTAAATGTCTTCTTCATTAACTTATACACCTGTGTGTGTCATGACTTGGGAAGCTTCCTCCATTTAGGGGAAAAAACAGTTTACCAAGAACATGAGATTTCTCTTTGCACCGTATGTCACTAGTCAGCTAGGTTAAGCTGAGCAGCCGGCTTAATTAGTGCAATATTTTCATATTTAATATTTATCAAAAGTATGAATTAATGGAGATATCATGGGTGTTAGAAACACTAACAATAATATTTACTGTTGGTGACCTGGTTAAGCTTTCTGATAAAGTTCAACCTTCTAATATTATTAGCAGTAACTGTTGGGTGTTCCTACTGTACATCCATATATATTCCAATAGTACTGATCTATACCAATGTCTATTATGTGGTTGATTTCTATATTTATCAATGCCAAAATGGGAAATACCAAAATCCTACGATACTAATTACAATTTGTATTTTCTTTTTTCGTTTTACATAAATGAATGGAGGTAAAAAAAAAATTAGTGGATATATATCACAAACACAACATATTGCCCTAATTTGTATTGAGTTGCAATTTACAGCCATAAGAATTTGTATTTTTTAACTGACTTACTTTCAAGGTTTTTTTGTTTTGGTCAGAAAGAGGAGACACAACTTAAGTACGGTATCTTAAATTTTTGTACAGTACACACCTCAGAGGTTCCATGATAAGATCTCTTCATTGAGCTCAGGTATCGAAAGATCATCACTTGTGTGTACATTAATTAATTTCCCTCAGCATGCAGTGTTTTCTCAAGTTTTTCAATTCATGGGGCTACTCTGGTCCCTCTTTGGTAAATATGGGGGTCACTTTGCAATGTTGAGGGCCATGTCATATTAATTAGTCTCAGAGTGTTTTATTTACCATATTAGAATTTACCATATTAGAGTTTAACAATTTAATTTAATGTGCAGTCATGTTTAGTCTCAAAAGTAAACATGCACAAGCAACAGACTTAGGGGAACTTACATATTAGATTTGAGAAGGATTCCTTCCAGTACATTTTGAGAAATAGCGACAAGAACTATTTAAGGACGGATGACTTGAGGCAGGGCGATTTGAATCATTATTGAAATTAAGTTTTTTCAGGAATAAAACTTTTTTCTTTTCTTAATTTGTCATATTTTAAAAATGGGTAATATATATCACAAACACAACATATTGTCTTAGTTTGTAGTTACAATTTACCGCCAACAGATTTTGTATTTTTGAACAGTAGATTAAAACTTCACTATTTTCAGGGGAATTTTTTTCAGGAAAGAAGGAGGACACAAAAATCTTAATATTTTGCACAGTACACACCTCAGTCCATGATAAGATCTCTTCATTGAGCTCAGGGTGGTGAAAGATCATCACTTGGGTGTACATTAATTAGTTGAGGGTCATGTCATTATTTATTGGTCTCAGTATCTACAATCTTTGGGTTGATAATTTGTTTGATTTACCCTATTAGAGTTAAATAATTGCATTCTAATGAGCAGTTATGTTATTATTCACCCTTATTTAAATAATTAAAAAGGATCTTGACACCCCACAAGAAAGGATCTTTGTCAGATCTACAAAAGATCTTTTACCTTCTTTGCTCTTCATTTTCTTTTCAGGTACTATTACCGAGCCCTATGTTGGAAAGCTGACAGTGCCAGTAAAAAAAACTTTCAATCAAGATTAAACAAATTTAAAAGAGACACATCTGATGATGGACGGCTTAAAAAATAAAATTGAAATTCAGGGCTTTCAGGAGTAAAACTTCAAGGATTTTTTGGGCACTTTTAAATGTAGAGGCTCCACAAACTTGCCAGTTTCCAATAGAATACATCTGTATATAAATGTCATTAACTTATACACCTGTGTGTATCATGACTTGGGAAGCTTCCTCAATTTAGGGGAAAAACCAGTTTACCAAGAACATGAGATTTCTCTTAGCACCGTATGTCACTAGTCAGCTAGGTTAAGCTGAGCAGCCGGCTTAATTAGTGCAATATTTTCATATTTAATATTTATTAAAAGTATGAAGTAATGGAGATATCATGGGTGTGAGAAATGCTTATAATAATGTTTATTGGTAGTGACCTGGATAAGCTTTCTGTCGACCGTCTAAAATTCTGATCAGACTCAAATTTGGATATGCGTTACAAGATACCACAGGGAACCTTCGCATTAAATTTGAGCAAGATCCCTCCAGCACCTTATGTGAAATATAGCTCTTCCAAGAATTTTCAAGGACAATCGGAGTGATGGAATGATGGAATGACGGAATGACAGAGGGACGGACCACTGAAGGAGGGCGATTTGAACAGCCCACCATCTGATGATGGTAGGTTTAATAAGATGATATAGCAATGCTTCAGTTTTGTTTAGTGATGCAATTCAATAATCCTGTGTACTGCAAGATAACTATTTTCAACATATGGTGAGAGCCCTAAATTACTACAGCTCTGTAACATACCAGATCACTGCATTCTGGAGGCAAGCGAGTCTAGTGGTAGGACGCCAGGCTCAAAACTGAAGGGTTGCAGGTTCGAGTCACGGCACCGTGTTGTATCTTTGAGCAAGATACCTTACTCTGGTTGTTCCAGTCTACTCAGCTGTAAATGAGTATATGGTTGGGCAGTGCTAGAATTGTTGAATACTAGCTGTGAGTGCCGAAATGGCAGCACTGGCTGTATGCTCCCCAGGGAGTTGAGAAAGATATTGGCTGGTTGCAAAGGCCCTATATCCACGGATAATAATTTGTGAAACGCTTTGAGACAACCTCCTAACTAGGTTGTGATAAAGCGGTATTTAAGAATCTCAAATTATTATTATTATTATTATTCAAAACCTTGCGTCTATTTACCTGGGCCTGCAGCTCATTCTCCTGTTTCCAAGAGTCGTAGAACTCGGAGTCGTCTTTCATATCATACTGCTTGTCAAAGACTTCCTTTAGCTTCTTCTTTCTATCTACACGTTTCTCATGTGCCGAAGTCTCTGCTTTGGTCTTTTTCCTTTCTCCCTCTTCATCTTCTGTAAAAATGTAAAATAATATATAAAACTAGATAAATCACACTGACATTAATGCCACGCTTGTCTCCTATGTAATGAGTAAAATACAGGGTCATTAAGTCTCTTGAGATCAGAATGATGAATTGGTGAACTCACACTATATGCAACAAGAAATTATTTACCGAAACTCCAATTAGTGCAGTCAAAATTTAACGCATTGTTTGAAGCGTGAAAAGAGCTGAAATAATAATACCACTGATATATGTACTTTTACAGTGTCTCTTTGGACAACATATATAGAGAAAATACACAAACAACTGTTGACCATACTTAGATGACAACAGCACATAATAGTAGAATGTTTTATTATTCACCTTCAGCAGCTGAATCTCCTTCATCGTCTTTCTCCTCTTTGTCACCTTCTTTGTGTACCTTACCAGTCTCCAGGTCCTCAAAGTCTCCATACAGCTCATCTGCAACAACATTTGTGTTCTTTTTTTATTTCAAAGTATTGTACTGCTAATACAGTTATAAAACAAATACTGTATCTATCAGTTATAAGCCCATGCTTGGTAATAAGCCCAACAATATATATTGCAGTCAAGAAGAAATGCCGACTTAAGCTTTTCCATTGACCTGTAAAAAGCCTGTCCTGCTACTTTCAGTCCGAATTTATGTTGCCCCCTGGGCTTATTGCAGCGTAAATACGGTGATACAGAGATAGGAAAAAGATGCACATATTAACAAAAGGATAACACAACAGGCTACGTGGGGGTCACCCTGCTACTTTTACACACATTCAGATACATCAATACTAACAGCATTTGGGGAGTATTTTCCTCATAGAGTTTATAGTTATGTTCTAGAGCTTACCATCCTGCTCCAGTCTGGCTGCAGCATCCTCACTCCTGTCCCACTTCCCCGTCACAAAGCAGTCCTTTATAAGGTCCCTCACCTACAAAACACGGTCAACATCAACTGTTCACTCAGCTCATTAGGCATGTATATATATCCTATAGCAGTTCTCACATCTCAATGGCAGGTCAAGGGATAAGCTTTTGAGAGCTTCAGGAAATTTTCTACCTGTAAATCTTTTTCATTAACAATTATTAAGGATTCCCATACCATTGCCAAAAACTGTAAAAACGCCCGTGGAAACTATTTTTTCCGGCGTTACGAAAACTTTGATAAAACCTTTCTTAAATGAAAACCATACAATGTACCTTGCCGGATTTTTAGGAAAAATATTTATGATGAAATAATCAAAAGATAACAATATGTTCGGAGTGTAAAAACTTCATTGGGGCTCGACTGTGCTACAGTTACATCCAATACGAAATTAAGGGGAGGTTACTGTATATACAAATTAAAACCAACGTGCAGTGGGACAGGGATCCTTAAGGTGAATGGGTAGTCAAAACAATTCTGTAAGTGAAATGTTCATTCAAGAAAATCACTTGTTGCCATCGCTTTTATATTTCTAGTCAAACTAATATGTAAACGAACACATTCAAAGTCCCTACACCTTTTAAGAAGACCACTATTTGTCTCCCAACAATCTGTCCCCTCCATCTTGTATGCTGCAAGTCCATTGAGCACTCCAGTTAAACTTGACTTACCTCCTCCAGGTCCCAGTCCTGCATATGCTGTACAAAGAAGCGTGAACAGTCGGTTTTATTGATGGACAGTCTCTCGTCATTCTTCTTCTCTTGTTTCTTATTTAGCACCTTGAACAGCCCTCCCAGTTCATCATCCTCGTCATTGTTGTCCTCAGCCTCACCCACCTGTTCACCTGCCTCTACAATGTTCCACTCGTTACTTTACAAAACTTTACACTCCTCGTGCAGGATCTCAAATGAGTCATGATTTAAAACATGTGATAATCAGATCTCCATGAAATTAAACATGCCTGTAGTCAGATGGAAAAGTGAATTATTTCAAATTTTATTTATCCGGACTATTCCAGTAAAAGAATATTTGACCACAAGGCTCCAAAAAATAAATACTACATTGAGGAATTTAACTTGAGCTTTTCATGAGTGTACATTAAAATGTTGTCATACTGTAACCTTTGTCCCATGAAATTTTGACACAATAAAGATTTTTGGCAATTTATACAGGTGTCTTATAGAAAGGGCATTATAGGTACATTTCACTTTTCCTAAAAAAAGAGCATTATATAGATTTTATCCCATATAATTAAGCGGAATTATATTGAGATTTTACTGTATATAAACAAGGAGCAATTGTATTGAAATATTACTGTACATATACGAAGGGCATTCATTATATTATAATTAAGGCTTTTGCTTGTTGGTTCTGTGGAAAAAGTTGTTTTTCATGATGGATATCAATGCATGTACCTTGCCCATATATCAGTTTCCTGTAGTTGACCCTCTCTTTCTGTCTCTTTCTAAAGGATTCCGCTGCAAACTCTGCCAGGTTACTCTTCCATTTCAAGTGTCCTTCTGGAAAAAAAATTCAAAAAATTTCAATATATTACACTGTAAAGTATACTTTCCAAGAACATTCTCTGATGTAATGACGCATGAATGTCAATAATTAAATATAATTTTAAACACTTTAATGTAAAAATTATGAAATTGACAAATTATTTAATAGTAATTTCCAAACATGAAATTACCTATAAAATCTTATTTCTTTTATCTAAGAGAGGTAAAATTTAAATAGTTATTACATTGAACTCACAACATATTTGTTGTATGCGTGATACACATACTGAAAATAGTTCTCATACAGCATCAATATAAACTACCTTCTTCTTCAGACTCTCTTTCCTCTTCTTCACCATCCTCAGTTTCTTTGAAATCCTCGTCACTTTCAGCATCCTCATCACTATCCTTATCATCTGCTTCATCACCCAAACCCTCATCGCTTTCAATGTCACTTTCATTGTCACTGGTTTCAGGAGATTTTGGCACATTTGGCGATTTACATGAATTTTTCATAATCTTAGAGGTCAACAAAGTATCACTTTTACTTTTCACAATTTTTTCTTTTGGTGATTTCATTGAATCAACTGTACTAATGTCCATATCTTCCTCCGATTCTTCATCGTCACTTTCATCATCAGTTTCATCATCATCTGTACTGTCATCATCAGAAATGTCTCTTTCATCCTCTAAAGTTTCATCTTCATTGAATGAATGTGACGATGAAGTATTTTTGTTTGCAAATACAATTTCGTTGTCAGAGTCCTCATCATCGCTTGCATTGTTTGTTTTATCATCTAACACATTTTGGCTGCTTTGTTTTGCAGATGAAACCTCATCTTCATCTGTTTCTAACTCATCTTCATCTGTTTTTAAGTCTTCTTCCTCTCCTTCACTATTTCCACTTTCCTCACTATCATCATCATCATCATCATCATCATCATCATCTCCATCATCTTTGCCTGTCTCTGTCCGCCTTAATTTCTCAGAGGATGGGGAATAACCTGATCTTAAAAGTTTATTTTTATCATCTATCACATCATCCTCGTCGTCGTCATCATCACTGTCAGCAAACACAAGTTCTTCTCTCGGATCCATCTGAAAGGAATTTATCATTAGTTTTTTTAATATTCTTTCTGACAAGTAATGGTTGGAATTGGCTTCATTTGACAGGCAATGTTATATTGAATGGGTATTGTGATGTCACAGTCAAACCTGAAACAGATATTGATTAGGTAGTTCTATTTGAGCAATACTTGATCAATATGTAGCTGTTATGTTCTTCTATATCATGTCTATTGGTGTCAGAAAAAAATACAGAAAACTTAAAAATTGGAAAAAGGAAAAAAACACTCCTGCCTTTTTCAGTTAGTGAAAGCATGGTATCAGACATGCTCAGACAATACACTTTTATCCTGCTACCCACAAACTTTTTAAAACAAATAACGTGAAAATCAGCATGTCTTTTCTTTTTAGACAAACAACTGAATTCAAGCAATGAAAGTGGCACCAAACACGACACAAGGATGATGTGACTGCTGAGCCCGTTGGTGGATAGGAAAAATTCCGCTTCAAGTTTCAACATTGTCGCTTCACCGAATTTTGAGTATAATATCTATAAAATCTTTCTTTCTATGGATGAAGTTGAACGAATACTTTCTGTATATCGTTATTACAGCAGTTTTGATGGCTACTACAATGACTTGAGGGAAGATCATTGACATTATTAGTTACCTTTACTCGTTTTTTCTTGGGTTCATCTTCTACGTCCTGTAGAAAGTAAAAAAGAAACTTTTAATCTTTACACATGTCTTGTTGTCAGTAAAGGTAAGAAACTATTTTAAAGAGTCGTATTTTCTTTACAGCCTTGATGTACGGCCAGTAGAAAAGAGCAATTTGTTCTAATGAGCTGTTCTAAAGGCAAAATATTTTGTAACTAATATACAGGTCGCGGGGACTAAAACAATTGTTGGAATGTGTGTAAATGGAGGGGGACATATTGTTATTTAAACCCTAAACCTCCGAACTCTAGACTGAAACCCTGATTAACTGAACTTTTTGGTCACTGGAGGAAGTCATCTGGTCCAGTCCTATCACTCACATGTATCTCTAAGACTTCAGGAGAAAATACAATACTATTTATAGCCTAGGTTTGCAAATCTCCTTATCATGCACTCAGTAATTGAAACTGAAAAGGTTTTTCACAAGCACCAATAAGTGAGACAATTACAACAAGTCTAGACAGGTATTTAAACGCAGGACATCTGATCGAGACAGATTCTCTAACCAACTAGGCTACCATTTTTTACATGATATGATTCGGCTCCATTCACTATGTGGTGAGGAATTGATAGAGGGATTGGTTTTATAGGGTTTAACGTCCTTTCAACAGCCAGGGTCATTTAAGGACGTGGACTGGAGGGTAAACTGGATCATGGGGGGGGGGCTCAAAATTATTAAGATATATTTGATTGTGAGCTAGAACTTTCTACAGTAACTAACATCAAGTCCGTCTGTAAAGATGGCCTTCCTTCTCACTCGTTCACCCTCCTGTTGAATCTGGTCCTCTGACCGCAGGTCCCTGAAATAAACACAATTTCACCACAATGAGACATATCAGGCACACAAAAAGAGATTGTTTCCAATATATTGTCCTGTAGAATAAAAGAATTTTTTTTATCACATAATAGAAATAATATAATCAAATGACAGATAATAATGTTTCTATAATTTGGGTTCAAGCGAAGTTGCACACTGCACACGTATGCTAACACGTTGTCCAAAGAGAAAAAAAGTCCACTGAGTGTATTATTTCCTTTTTATATTAAAGGTTTGTGGAGAGATCTGGTTGGCTTGTCGGGGTTCCCTACACAACCATTGTCTGTGTTAATAATGTACTAGGGTCAGTGACAGCAATATTCTGTATGCTAATTTCCTATGCCAACAGCTGAAATTGCATGCAAATTCTCTGTGGAAGGTCAATAGCATTGAAATAAGCCTGGGTCAAACCTCAAACCATTGATGCTGCAAACTAACAAACTGGTTTTTGTGTCAAAAATCCCTTTTGAATATTTGTAACCAAAATTGCAATCTGCAAAATTCATGTTTCGTTAGTTCCTCTTTGATTTGAAGTGTTCGCATTAGCTTGGCCTGAATGTACTTTAACAAGATTGTATAACAAGCAAATTTGACATAGAAGATATCACTAGAACAGCTAGAAGAGAAGGCTTACTCCTGCATTTCCACCTCTGAGATGGGTGTGGTGTTGGAAAAAACTGCCATCTGACAGGTGTTCATCTTCTGGTCTAAAGGGTTGAAGGTCGACATGAGCGTGGAGACAAGGTCATTGGCTGGTTCGAGCTCCGTCTGAAGTACAATAAAAACTCTTAATGTGTACATATCAAGGAAGACATCAAGGTCATTTGAAGTACCATAACAATCACAAAAATAAGTATTCACAAAATTTTAATGAATTTAAAGCTTTATATCTTCCAAATCAAAAGACAATTGATTAAATGACCAATTCCTTGACCATGCATTTAATTTGTTGTCCTTCTCACTAGTGATGGGCAATTGGTTTAAAATCATAACAGTTTTGTGAATACTGTTTAGTTGGTAATTTTCGTGTGGGGGGGGTAATTTCGCTATATACATGGTCACCAAAGACAGAACAAAATTAAATACCAAGCGAATATTAATACCATGAATATATAGAGATAAAAGAAAAACACCTGTTTACACTTTTACTGTTGAATAACGATGAAAACCAATTGAACCTTTTTTTAATACAAGCCATTCAAATTGATATTTCTTGTCTGTGCCCCGCTTTGACCATCAATGCACATGTCAAGTTTGGTTGGTCTAGCACTTATAGTTTCAGAGAAACTAACTTAAATGCAAAAACTAAATGTTGATGGAGATGCTGACAAAGTCAATGGACCATGAAAGGTAGGCTGCATCCAGCATTTGATACATGGGTTGAGATGTAATACCTAGGATGCATCTATGGTCAAAGTTTGGTTGGTCTAGCACTTCTATGTTGATCCCGACGCCGCCTTGGCCGGAAAAGCAACACCTTAGTCTCGCAGAACACATCACCCAAGTACAATAATACCCTAGTGGGCGTTATACTTTTACCTGGCAATATTGTACAAAATTGAATTCCTGCAAATTGGTTCCGATTAGGACAATCGCAAAATATTCACCCAGCGAAATTAAAACAATATACAGTATATTGATAAACGAATCAGAAATTGATAATCGGAAAGGGGAAACCGATCAGTTTGTGTATCATTATCGATAAGCGATCACTATTTCATGGACGTGTTTATAATTTGTTGTCCGTCTCACCTCCTGCTGTTTGGTATGGGAATGACTCCCACCCAGGTCTATGTACACAGCATCCTTGTCGTACACAATGCCCCCAACTCCTGACATGGGCGCGTAGATAATACGCTCACGCTGGTTCAAGGAACGCTTTTTCTCTTGGTCTGGTGTAGGGCAAGGGTCAGGTAGAGTCTGCATGTCGTGTACAGTGAAGTCGCCACAACCTAATACCGAAAAAATCAGCATAAAGAACAATTGTGGCTTCTAACAAATAATTTTTCTAAAATGCTCAGCATCTTATTTCACAAACATGCATTATCAAATTTGATTTAAACTATTGATATCATAACTACAGGCCATCCTGAGGTGAACATCATCGTAGCACCTTGACATAAAAAGCCACTACAACATGGATGTGTTTCTGACATAGCCATACAGATATGTCGCTCGTCTGAATCATTTACTTGGAATGTGTATTTATAGCAATTCCTTACATATGTTACTCCTGACTCAGCTATACAGTGATATGTTACCATCCCAAACACTTACCTGGAATGTGTACACTACAGCGGTTCTTCATGTGTGGCCCCCTTACATAGCCATACATAGATATGGTCCTGTCACATTTGCCATTCCTACGTACAGTTTCAGGGTCTGTGATATCCTCCTGTCCCCCTTACATAGCCATACAGCGATATGTTCCTGTCACATTTGCGATTCCTACGTACAGTTTCAGGGTCTGTGATATCCTCCGTTCTGTAACGGTTCTTCATGTGTGTCCCCGTTACATAGCCATACAGAGATATGTTCCTGTCACATTTGCGATTCCTACGTACAGTTTCAGGGTCTGTGATATCCTCCGTTCTGTAACGGTTCTTCATGTGTGTCCCCGTTACATAGCCATACAGTGATATGTTCCTATCACATTTGCCATTCCTACGTACAGTTTCAGGGCCTGTGATATCCTCCGTTCTGTAACGGTTCTTCATGTGTGTCCCCCTTACATAGCCATACAGTGATATGTTCCTGTCACATTTGCCATTCCTACGTACAGTTTCAGGGTCTGTGATATCCTCCGTTCTGTAACCAAAAAAAATATCGTTTTTACAGAGACACATATACATCATTGTTCATGGAGAAGAAGCACCAAGTTGTAAGTTTTAACTCATGGAGAAGATGCACTATTAAAAGTTATAAGAACTGGTTTCTAATCCACTTTTCTGTGCACAATAAGATGTTTAAATCAAATCAACAATGACTTTTTGTATTAAAGTACATGTCTAACCATTGTATTAATTAACCTTATACAATTGTGTCTTAGTTAAATTCACAATTGTCTCTCGAACACATTACTGTACCTCAGGTTATTTTAAACATGATGCCAATTTTGCCAATTTGTTAAAAAAGAAATATTCCGCTTTCTTGTTCAATTTTAGTGTTTCAAACTCCATGCTCATGCTATCACTTAATTGTAATATTTTTTTATATATGATAAAATGTTTATGTTCTATTTTTCAGGATTTCACATCCCAATAAAGTGAAAATTAGATACACCTCTTATTTAACCATGAAAAATGCCTGATTAATGATGATACTTCTCCCCAAATATACATGGGGAATCTGTACAAAATCTGTACAGTATTTCTGAGAAAAAGCAGTAACAAACTTTTCACCCTAAAATCTAAGATGGCCACCCGACAGTCACATTAATCTTCAAATCCACAAACAAAAGTAATGTTGCATAACTACGACCCGAGGGGAATATGAGCACAAAATTTGAGAAAAAGCATCAACAAAATTTGTTAAAGGATGGACAAATCACGGATGAGATGCAATTTGAAAAGCCAATCATCTAGACTGATGGTGGACTAAAATATGTGAGGTTACAAATAAAACAAGGCTTTATATTAAGTTTGAAATGTATTTCTTTTGTATTTTATAGTATTGGTTTTATTTGCAAGTTTGAATATCTCATGATTATTAATCTCCTTATACATATATTCCAATATTCATTATGCTACATCTATATTATACACTGTTATGGAACTAATTTTATCTGGGTGAACGGTTCTATTATATGCATAATTTGCATAGCATCAATATTCCCAGGAACTGACATTCGTCCAGAAATGTTTTATCGTTGCACCTGTTGTCATGTCTCACTTCGTACCACTACAGATTGTCGTTTTGTGTATGTTGTGCATTGCTATTTGTTATCTATTAGAAAATAAAGAGGTAATCATTTAAAAATTAATCCAAAGTTGATTTGAATATTCTGAAATTTTACCTGTCTACTAGGATGTAAGGGTGAGTAGTTCTCCACTGGAGTGGGCGGAACTTCATCACCGATATGAACCGACACAGGTTATGTACCTCCGTTTTCTGATACTCCTCATTTACCATTCCAGACAGATAAAACAGCTTAGCTCCCTGTGGGCAGATTTAATAACAAAAATGAGTTATAAAACAAGTATATTATAAGTTTTCATTTTAGCGAAGCTTCAGGACAAGTTTAAAAAATATCAAGCAAATTATTCATGGCTGTTTTATCACATTAAAACAAGAATTTATGCACATATTCTTAAAATGATTTTAAAAAAACCCAAAAAACACCTTTCAATGACTTTAAATGATGCCATCTGTATTTTATTTATTGTCCTAACTATGACATCATAACTAAACCACCTGTTATGTCGCAGTTTGAAAGACACTGGTGGGGAGGAAAACCAGAGTAACCTGAGAAAAAACACTGATCTGAGGCCAGTACCTTTCACAGTATGACAGGAAATAGTTTTTGATATTGGCCGTGAAATAACTGCAACTGTTTATATTATTATACTGAAGTCATGATCACCATCTAGGGATGATATTAAGCCATCTACTATAGTGGTACACTGTCCATAACAGGCAACAACAAAAACTACATCTTGAACTTATTCTTTGATGCCTCTGATTGAGATTCTCACCTGATACACTTCAGTCCAAAACCTGTGTTTGAGGCGTTTCTTGGTCTTCCTCATACGTTTGTTGTCTTTGAAGGCATCAAGGTGAGTCAACACGCCCATGATACGTGGGAACCCGTGAACCTGGCAGATGTTGAGGAATTCAAACGTCTCCATTTCAAACCCAAAGCTGGCATCAACCAACAACAATACCTAAAGAAAGGAGAAAATGGCATAGAATAAATACATAAATAAAATAGTCTAATTCCATTATATTTACATTTGCCCCCGCGCCGTCCAATTACAACAGTGTTAGAGGGCAAGTGTAATTACATAGGCTATAATTACAACTGCTCGACTATAATTACAACTGCCTGTTTCAGGTGTAGGAATATGTAAACAAACAAAATGGCCGCCTGAAATGTATTTTGAGGCAGGGCAAATGGTTTTTGCAGGAATATGTCTTAAAAAAGAAAAATATGTAAATATCAAAAATACCTGGTTGTCTGGATGTAATTATTGTTGATATAATTACATCTAGACAACCAGTTATTGTTTAAATGACCCTTGCCCAGGTGTCCTGCTCTCCTATAGTGTTTTCAAGGAAGGTATTCCGTCTTTGTGTATTGCAGAGTTATCTTCTCTTGGGAACAAGTATTGATTGTTACGTGTTTGTGAGAGTAAAGTCATCAATTTTTGAGAAAACGACGTAATTTTCTCACACAGACCAATGACGTAACAATCAATACCTACTCCCAAGAGAAGATAACTCTGCAATACGCAAAGACGGAATAGTGATGGAAGCATTAAAGGAAAACTGTTCCTAAAGAAATAGCTAGAATAGATTTACTACATTCTGAGACACTTAAATATATTTAATTAATCGGGACCATATCTTATTATGAAAGCCAGGAAATCTCAGTCCAAAGACATCTTCACCTACTGTATTTACTGGTTAGTAGTCATAAAGAACTTTAGTCCCATCATTCCTACAATTACACTGTACCTACATGTATCTAAATGCTTGCCATAAAAATGCACCAGGTTACATACAACTTTGCTCCTGTATACCAGATAATGCTAATTACAGGATTTAATTTTCGCTCCTCAGGCTTTCAGTCATTAAGACATACTTATCACAAGTGCACAATCTTTTGAGTTGAATATCGATTTTATAGATAAAGGGTAATTATATAACCTGACTCGTAGACCCTCGAACCAGACATGCATACCCTTATGCCTACAAACACATATCTGCTACAAAGGAAACCTACAAATATTCATTCTTCTCACACACAATAACACAAGTGAATCTCCTTCCCATAGCAGCAGTACAATGCACAACACTCGAGGACTTCAAGGCACACATACCCTATGCAGCTCTTAAAGCCCTCATCACATGCTAGTACATATATATGCCAGCTTTTAACCTTTTATCTTATACCCTGCACAAAAACCCCCCCAAAAAACTATCTAATCACTGTAAATAATCTTCTTTTTTCACGCATCTGCAACGGTTCCCAAAGGCATAGTCTTCACTATATTGATGGAGCCCTTATACACTCAAGAAGAAGACGACGTTTTACACTCCTATTAGAGGAGTCTCCTCCCGTACTTGGGCGAACCAAGTCCAGACCCAAGAAGGAAGAAGAAGAAGAAGACCAAACTGCACTCGGCAAACTGCCCCAGTGCACAGGACTAGCTAAACCCTACAACATTGTTGTCTGATATTTTCAACCACTTTGAATTTATCATATTTATAACTATTTATTGTCACTTACTAGGGACAATATACCGATTTGTATCAGTTCTTCTCTGTGTGATATGCGTATCAATACTAAAATGCATGCATCATTATGCTGGGAAAACAGGCTAAAGGGAGAAATGACTTCCTTTCCATATAAGTCAAGAAAATTACAATTGCTGTTACATGGGAAAATGTGATCCAAAGACTGCTACTGTATGTTCGGTGAAGTTAGGGGCACCTCAATTGATTGATTCTTAAAAGGAATACACTAGTCCCACCTGAGAGTAAAAGGAATTCAAAGAAGAGATGACCTGACAACATCAAATGTGGAGTCTTGGCAAATTTACTCCAGTTTACATGTTTTGACTTTCGGACCTCTAGGTGGGCCGTCATCTGAGGTTCTAATGTAAAACATGTAAACTGGAAATGTAAATTTGCCGACACTCCCCATTTGGTGCTGTCTGGTCATCTCTTCTTTGAATTACAATTGCTTTTATTCAGACTTATTTCCTGTTAGCATGATAGTCAAACTGCTTCTCAGAGCTGAAAAAGTATTTTAATGCGTTTGTAGTCTATATTATTTAAAGACCCTACATATAATCCTTCTTTAATTGTATTTTTCAAACTTTTCATGTGAAAACATGCAAAAAAGTATATCAGGATACATAATGTATGGGACATATCGTGATATGTATCGTCCCAGCCCTATCACTTTTAAACCAAATCAGCCACCTTTGCACCAGCCCTATCACTTTCCAAATCAGCCACCTTTGCACCAGCCCTATCACTTACCAAATCAGCCACCTTTGCAATGTCTATCATGCTGTTGATGTCATTCTTACACTCTAAAAGGGTCAGTCTTTTGTTTTTACCTGAAAAAAATACATTATGAATAAAGAATTCATGTCAAACAGAATGTACCTGGATTTCAATCATATCACCAAGATACAGGTAGGGAGGACTGCAACGATATATCGTGGTTTTTCAAAATACGGTACAACACACAGTATTTTGGGAGGTCACGATACACCTACGATATTTTCTGGATTTTGTTGATTTTGAATTCAGTCTACTCGTTTCCGTTCCCACATGGCGAGTGACAATTTTTAAGTCATGCCCATTTTCGACTAAGTCTATTTTCTGTTGCCATATTGCTACATATCTTTTCTCTCTGAATTTACTTTACTATATGTATAGTGATGTATCGTATCTTGACCACAGTATTGTGATACGTATCATATCCTCATGTTAATGTAGCGTATCTTGACCACAGTATTGTGATACGTACAATGTATGGTATCCTCATGTTAATGTAGCATTACAGCTCTAGCTCTAGGTATTCTTTTTATACATGAACACAAAATTAACGAATAGATCAGATTGTAAAAGTTCCTGTTTGGACTTCACAGAGATATAAAGGTATACACTGGTCTTGAAGTTTTCAGTCTTATTTCCTTCTCAAATTAAACTTGGGTGAATCCTTGTGGTACGGGGGATAACATGTCTTGAGTGAGTGTTTTTGGCTATAGGACCAAGTTGTTAAATTGAGAAATTACCAAAACTGCCATTGTCACACATTCATTTTTAACAGCAGAAACTTAATGACTCTGTTATGAAGGTGCATATTGTGTATGAAGTAACTAAGTTTTTCAAAACGTTTTTGGGTTTTTCTTTTCCCTTGTTTCATAACTGTGATACAGTATTAAGTGTTAAGGTGAATCTGTGACTTTAAATCAAGTAACGCCTCAATTACCCCCACAGCTTACCGGCAACAACAGTGACTGGGCCTTCCACATTGGTCAGTCGCTGCTTGGCATAGTTTTTAACAAGACATTGCAGCAGAGTTGTCTTTCCTACTTTTGGGGGTCCCACGATCCCCACAACAACAGGTGGAGGTTCGACTGGTGTCCTGTCCACCAATGGGATGTGTGTCTTCTTGGTTTTGATATCCTGTGACCTGTCAACAATTTAGTTTATTTATTTAGGAATAATGAACATCCGTTCAATACAAAATTATATCATACATGTAGAGTGGATTCTGTCTAAACTGGACACCTCTGGGACCATATTATTTGGCCGGTTTGTAGAGTTCTGAATTGAAGAGAGACAGATTTAGCATCCTTTCTCAATGTAATGAAGAATACGTGGAAGCATGTTATATTTTTTTCATGATTACAAAGTATTTGTACTTATTTTCATTGATCAACAATACTGTAATAATTGACTAATTTCGCTCGCATTGATGATGGAAAAGATATTCCTAACAAAAACTCAATCATTGTTTTATTCGACATCACTGATATCAACATACACAGAACAACGTTACACACTTGTACAAACACATAAATGGCACTAGGACAAATGCAAATTATTTCATACAGTGTCTTATTTTAAGTAATATTATAAGGTGTTAACCCTAACAGAGCTAGAAATTTATTTTGAATACCAGAGTCAATTTGGGTAGTAGTTTCCAATTTTTGCTCATCCATGAGCAACCAATATTATTCAATAAGATAAGAGGCTGGCTTGTCAATTGGGATAGTGGTTTTCAGAACCACCAGTTGAGCTGGAGATTTCACTAGTTTCAGATTACCTTGCTCCCTTTATTGTCTAGCCCTGCCAGGGTATCTACCTTTTTCCAGGGACCAAAAAAATGGCTGGTTGCATGACAAAGAACACTTTGATAATGTAAATAAAATTCTAACCCATTAAAATGGTTAAATTTGCTATTCACAATACATTTTATACAACATACATATTATATATCTATATGTATGAATAAATTGAAAGATGATCACTACAGGGTGTTTCAGGTTTTGATGAAATTGTAAAGAAGTCCTTTTTTCATATTGATTTTCTTAGAGACATGACTTTATAATAACTAGGATAAAACTTATAACTGTCTTACCTCTGAACCAGTCTAGTTGTTTTGATAGCATGCTGGATAGAGAAAGCTTTTGGATTCCTCTGTTGTGCAGTCAGTTCTTGGACATGTTTGTTTTTGGCTTTCTTTTTGTCAGCACTTGGTCCAGATCTTGGCTGGTGATGTTTTTTCACAGACTGTTTCTGATCCTCCATTTTGTTTATTTCGTACTTGCTTCAATTATATAAGCTTGGTATTCAATCTGTAATGCAAAATATATTACAAATGATGAGAATCAAGGCAATTTAGGAAAGTATTGCATTAGAGTATAATTGTGTTTTATTTGGTTTTACTATACATAGCATACTTGCCAACTCTCTCTATATAGGAGGGAGACTCCTAATTTTGGACCCTAAAATTGACCATTTTCAACCAGTGAATTTGCTAAACAATTTCTTATTTTTCAAGATCGGATAATTTCAACTGAAAGAACAGCTCAAAGTGAAAATTTTTTCCCTAGGGTGTACATACACACATTTTATTTATGTATTTAATTCTAAGCATGCATAATTCCCCCCATGGAAATTTCAAAAAGTTGGTAAGTACATGTATAAGAGGTCAATTATATCATATGACAGCAATGATACTTTGTGAAAGGATCACTCAGTGACTATTAATGCTGTTATCACACATTGAAAATTACCCTTTTGGGGTAAAAACTACCATTCAAAGCTCAAATAGAAATTTAGTCATTCAAATAAAGGCTATCCACTTTTGGAGACCTAAAAGATGCTTTATATTCGTAGGTAGGACATTCCTTCATCTATAAACCTTTCTCCGTCAATATTGACGATTACAAATATTTGGTAGTGCTGTAGTGCGTTGTAATGTACAGTGTTTATTGGTTTTGTTTTTAATTATTTGCTTAAGGATAAAAACAGGTTTAAAGCAATGAGTGTTAGTTATGTTGTTGGTGTTGTATATATCTTTGATTATGTTATATGTGGTGCACGTCCTGAATTCTGCTAGTGTTTCTGATTGGATTATTGTTATGGATAAGAATGAGTGTCTCTATGTGTTTTTGGATGTGTAGGTATGTCTGTAACTAAGGTCGTGTCCTTGACGTGTTCTGGTGTCTGCCGGGATGAGATTGTTAGTGTGTATTGCTACTTGTTGGTGTATTATTTTGTAGAGAAGAATAATGCATGTTCTTGTTGTGTGTGTGTGTAGTGTTGCCCATTGCAAGTTGTGTATCATATCTATGACTGAATTTGTGTTATGGTATGGACGTATCGTGCTGCTTTTCGTTGTACTTTTTCTAATTGATTTATGTTATTTGTGTAATGAGGGTCCCAAACTGAAGAGCAGTTTTCAAGTTTTTGTCTTACAATGGCCTTTTATGCATGTTCTTTTATGTGTGGTGAATTTATTTTAAAGATGAACAAATGAATGAATAAAGGTAGGACATTTCACCTGTAGAAAAGCGAATTGTGGGGAAAACATCAAATTTTACTTTGTAACTCCTCATATACAATTTCCATAGCCTCACGTTCTGATCCATGCACTCATAGACATCTGAGGTTGACAATAAGTAACAACCAACTTTATGCAATCAATATATTTAAATACCCACGAATAACCTTCTTTTCGTTTGCCCTTCTTACGTATACCCCACCATCAAAATTGTTGAAGGAATTGAATGAAAAATTAAACGGTGGATAGGCTTACCTATAGTACCAGACTGTGGATATGCGAGAACCTTAGAAAACCGTCATCGCTTAACTTATAGTTTAAAATAAACCTTAATGTGTCTTATAACGGATACTCACAACTGACTATGTTCGTTGGAGCATCAGCCGACAGTGGGTAGTTTTGTTGATATTGTACACACGTCGCACATGGTCATGTGTGGTGTCAGGATGAGTTTTATCTATACTACAATAATTACGGGGATTTTATATCATGAACAATAGAAAGTAAAAACTGAATGTTTATAAAACACTTACAAAAATGATGACTTAACCGCATGTTGTTGGTTTCATTCAACGGAAAATATCGAGCATGCTATTTCCACGTTTCCTACGGGCGCAGCCATCTTGGATAAAACTAAATGTCGAAGCGGATCCTGATGTTCCGAATTCTAACACAAGAAAATAAATCAATTAATAAAGAAAGAAAGACATGTGAATAATGATGGTCAAATAAAAGAAGGAAATAAATATTTTCACAAACACTGGGTACCATCAGTACTGACATTGAAAAGTATTAATAAATACAGTACTAGTATCATGTATCATAAATAAAACTTCAATCAGAAGATAAACAAGTAAATAACGGCAAAGTTTCGTTAATTGCTAATTGTTTTTGGCACATGGGTATGACACCAGTCAATTTGATTTAAACATATTTCATTGTTTTTAAGCAACAGGATTGTGCACAAGTTTTACAACTTATTTAAAGCCCTTTCCCTTAAATAAAACATCTGTATATATTTACAAAATTCAAGATGGCATATACATATTACACAACCATTTGCACATATCTTATGAGAGAGAGATCAAGAGAGATCAGTTAAACAGGGAAAGAGTTCTAAATTACCACATGAAGAATATATATCCCCCTGCTAGTGAACGTCATTTGTATGACACATACTATATATGTACTCATAGGTATTACAGAGAGCAGACACATAATTTATTTATTAACATAATGCCGTGTTACTTTAAGCATATCAATGTTGCTGGTCCATACCCATTTAACTGATTTAAGCTTTATAAACTATAAAACATCTACAAAACTTAATTAGAACCTGTTAATCGTACTGTATAATTACATAAAATGAAAACGTTAAAAAGATGAGTAAATGACTTAAACTTTTAATATGGCCTTTTATACAATGTAACATTGAAGCATAGGAAGATGACATTAGGCCTATTGCAAGCCGTTTGAATTTTCGCCAACTTAAAATTATCTCCATTAAAAAAAACCACCAACATAAGTCTATTTCTTTTATTATTAGAGATGCATCTCTAAAATGAAATACGGATATATATAATTTACATACAGGTGTTACTTCTTAAATGTATTTATTTGCTTTTGTTTATTATAATAAATCATTACATATCTCTCTAGATAAACAGAAAATATCGATTACCGTTTTATAATTGTACCCATCTCTATTTGAAATATCTGTAGTGGTTTTTTTTTTACAAAAACAATCCTCCGGCGATGGCTCCATATATGGGAATAATTGTTTTCACATCACCTAAAAACATGCCAAGTTTCATGCTTTTACATAAAACACCAATTCCTCCATACATGTTGATGAATCTGCAGTGTAGGAAGAATGCAGCGAAATGGGAAATTTGTCTATCAAACCTGTTATAACGTTACAAATTTACAACTTCATAACTGTGATAGATAATTCATACCAAACTAACACTCCATGTAAACCCCATCAGATTAAATAACCTCGGAGACTTGGGCCCGTATTCATGAAACCGTTCTCATGCTCATGCACGGATTTTGTGTTCTAGTCTAAGTGTTTGTTTCGTTTATATATTGATATTACAATCTTATTTTGTCAATGATTTGGAAAAAAATTGAAGAGACTTTAAGCCAAATACCTGTTTTCGATGGTTAGGTTTGACGTTTTGATCGTTTGACATGATTTAAGTGAGTTACAAGAAAGTTGGTTTGAGCACAGAATCTATGCTTGATCATGAGAATGGTTTCATGTATACGGGCCTAGATCACCAGCAGAGCGAACCACATTTGTGCATACAATTAAGTGGAAAATACCAGTAATGGAAGCACCTGTTTGAAAATGTTTTTTGTAGATGTAGAAAGGCAAACAAAGTAACATATTACTTTACCATATGTCCCTTTTGTCTCATAAGGTTCATTAGTGGTACTGAAGGATAACATGATGCGAACAATAATTTGCATACGATTTTATTCCTTATAGTTGATAATTAGATTTGAATAGCTACTATTCTTACATGATTGTGAAAGTGGTTGTTTAAAAGCTTAAAGTTTCATTTTGGATTTGAAATTCAAAGATGATTACTATGTCATAAGACTTGCCTTATTTTCTGGTGGTTTTTTTAAACGATTTTCAAGTTTGTTTTTTACCATCTATTTTTATCATCGATGGTCTCTTGACTGCCTTTTTCTGAAGTTTAAAAAGTTAAATAGAAACTAAAAAGAATACTGATATTCCATTGATAACATTAAAAGAAAGTGAGAGTGCTTGTAGGTCCGACATCGTTGAAAGCTGTTGCTTGTAGTGAATTCTTCGTTGTTGAGCACGAATCGATTGTAAATCAACTTTTATTTTCTTTTTGCACGAAAATCTCATTAGTCACGTACTAAGTACCAATAACTTGCACCTTATACGATGCACTGCTGTTATTTGTATTTATTTCTTAATATGTTGAATCTCATGGTGTTTTTCCCGGTTGGACCATATATTTTACCACCTATATGTTTATGCATTGAATACGTGGTTGCTTGTATGTTTGACACTATTCTTGCACGGCCTTTTTCTATGTTTTGTCCCGGCATTACATAATGCCTATATGTACTGAACTTTACCGTGCAAGAATAGGTCGATTTATGTCCCTAACCTTAAAATACTTTAACATACAATCACCAAATTTGCTTCTTCTTCTTCTTGGTATAATAGTTATCACATCTTTATTTCCCTTATGACCGATATCTATGTGCAATTTTTAGAGTGTGTGCAATATTTCAACTCAACAGACTATTTGATACTTTCCAGTAGTTTTAGTAATGGAGAGGCGTATGTTCAAGTATGTTCACAATTTGTTTACATGAGTATAATATAGTGACAAAATGCAAGTCTGGATTTCGCCCCGGTGATTTCACAGTAAACCAATTATTGGCTATGACAAATGATTTGGGAAGGGCAGTTGATTCGGGAAAAGAGCTGTGTTTTGTAAAATAAACCAGGCATTTGACCGTGTGTGGCACAAATACCTTATATACAAACTTATTAATATTAGGTTAGGCGGTAAAGTGATTCAATGGTTCAAAAACTATTTAACAAACAGAAAACAAAAAGTTATTATTAACGGAGTGGAATCATACTTGGCAGATATCAAGGCTGGTGTTCCTCAAGGTTCGATATTAGGGCCTCTTATGTTTTTACTTTATATGAAGGATATTGGTATTGATATTGCCTCTGTAATGAAGCTTTTCGCTGACGACACCTCGATGTATATCATAGTTGATACGCCCTTTTTGGCAGCTGAACGACTAAATAATGACTTAGAAAAAAAATCGATATTTGGGCTAAACTTTGGCCAGTTGATTTCAATCCACAAAACAACTAAGAGTATTATTATATCAAGGAAAAGAGTCTCTCCCAATCAACATTTCCTATATCTTAATAATGTCCCCATAGAAAATGTGAACTGCCACAAACATGTAGGTGTTACACTGTTTGAAGATTGTAGTAGGTCTATGAATGTTGATGACATTATCAACATGGTGACGACTAAACTAAACCTTTTACGGAAAATACGTTTTACCCTTTATGAAAAAAGTTTACAAATATTATATTTTACTTTTATATGACCCATTTTGGAATATGCTGACGTCGTCTGGGACAATCTAACTATTGAATATGTAAATAAGCATGAGAAAATTAACCAGGAGGCAGCGAGAATAGTATGTGGTGCTACAAAACTTACAAACCTAAATAAGTTGTATATAGAAACCGGATGGGAAAATTTAAGTGAAAGGAGGAAAAAAACATAAATTGACACAATTTAAAAAAAAATGTTTCATTGTCTCACTCCTGATTATCTTTCCAAGCTTGTACCTCATAGCAGGTCTGAAATATTTATATTTACGATCGAGACAATATCAAATATATCATACTAGATTACGTCTCGGATGCAGTTCTTTAAAACGCCATCTTTTTGTAAGAACTCTTGTTGACAATTGCTTATGTTCATGTGGACATTTTGTAGAAGACAGTTACCACTATTTGTTGTCTTGTACTAATCACATTAAATCACGCCAAAGATACTTGACTCCTTTGCCTTACCAATTAAGTGTTGATGTATTACTGTTTGGTGATGTATGAATAACGTATGATCAAAATATAAAAACATTGTTATATCTACTCAAAATGTTTAGGGTGGTCGGATGGTGCAGTGGAAAGCGCACTTGTCTTTCACCAAATGGGTTTTCTCCGGGTACTCCGGTTTCCTCCCACACAAAGACCCCCGCGCGCTAACATCCGGGCCAACAAGAGTGATTTATATACGTTGAATAACTTTTTATTTTATAAAATCAACCAGAAGATTTACAAGCAGTTACAGTTTAGCTACATTGCATTATCATGTAAACTTAACTACCCACCCAACCGGGTAAACTCCCGTTACTTTCTTCATCCCTAATATCATGTTCTATCTTTCTTTCTTAACAGCTTCTTATGTACATATTTTGGCTATCACTGCAAAGTTATACATGTATTTTCAGCTAAGCTTGTTATAAACGATGAGAAGGACTATGTATAAGTACAATAGTACTTGTTTCCGAATCATCCGATTGAAACGTTTATGTAATTGTACATGTTTATTGACATGAATAAAACATGGTTTAAACTAAACTTATTCTTCTTTGGATTTTATGTACATGTAGACAAATTTTGAAAGTTGAGGATAGTGTTATTTCTTTGCCAAAATTCATGTGTACCCGTTTGAATAGCCTTAACAAATTCATTTACGTCTACCTCACTATACCAAAGGTATGTTTTTCTTTTCATTTTCAGGAATGATTTATCAAATCTAAAGTCATGCCAAAAATAGTTTCCAACACTTTGCTACAGTTGTTTGGAGTGGTAAGAATTAAAATTAAAATAACTACAACTCATACTGCATGATTTGAAGCAGAATGTTTGAAAGTCAATGGGCTGTCGTCTGTAGTATAACGCACAGTGGTGTATATTTTGAGTCATGTACGACTTCTATCAGCTATGATGCTTAACCAACTAAATATTGATGGTTGTCTAGAGGGAGGTCATGCACTCTCCGTTGCTGCATTCAATTAGCCGCTTTTGACCACGATGCTTTCAATAGTTTTAATTTCTTAATTGACATGGATAAGTAATATAACTGAATTTGTATTTTACTCATGTTCATTTCTTTTGACGAGGAAAAGTATCTTCGTTCGCAAGCATGTAGGTATTGATTGAAACTCATAACGTTCGGCTTCATATAAGACTAGACAACACATATTTGATATTGAATTGTTTTATTATAGATAAAGCACTGCGGACAAAAAAAACCACATTCTATAATATGCAAAGCAATCAGAACCATAAAAGTAGTGTGTTCTCAGAACAATTTAAGTAGAGAAAGTCATATTATTCATACATGTATGCAATTAAAGAAAAAGCAATTCAATTCTTTATCATGTAAACTAAATTCATTCAACACAATCCTATTTGAGTTGTTGGCATGTTGACCACACGTATATTGATGTTATTCTGTAAACAGTGAACCAAAGATACAATTAGGTATTATTGCAAAACTGTTAAATGACTTTAAATTCTCGAGCATTTAGGTTGTTTACGATTTTAAATGATTGTTTGAAAATTTTCAGGCTACTATTGCTCCTTCTAAATCAAAGCTTTACATCAATTTATTACAAAGAGGAATCACCAGTAATAAAATAAATCGTGACTTTACTATATAGCGTTTCGAAATTGGCATTTTTCAAACTTTTACGAAACGCATGTTTAGTAATTTAAAACTACCTGCAGAAATTGATACCAGCGCTAGTATTTATTAGATTAACAGAGTTAGGGGGAAAAAATACATCGCTATTTTCCCAACAATGGTTGTCATTTTTCCTTTGCATATAATTATGATATAGCCCATACGTATTGAATCATTAAGCAGTAAAAATAATAAAATATATAATTAAAATTGCTTTTGAATTACTCGTTGTTTTCAAAAAACATTTCTATGCAACATCGAAAACATAACCCGTAGATTTTTGATGGAGATTAGTAAAATGTCTGTTTTAGGAATGTGCCACATAAACCATCAGAAATGTGATGACGTTTTTTGAAGTTTATGAAGTTTACAATAACAACAAGAAAATCTATACTTATTAAAATATCGGTGTTTTTTTTTAGTTTATTTAATTACTATCATTTCTAAATTTTGTATCAAGCATATTTTCGTCAATGTTTAAAATGTAATGCCTCAAAAATCTCCAAATGGGTTAAGACTCCTTAGAAGTATATGATGCCAATTCATCATCGGATATCTTATAATTATGTTAATTTTGTAAATAAAAATCTAGTTAGGCGTGCATGACCACTGTGTGGTAAATAATCATTTACTGTTGCCCGGAGTTCTAATTGGCTAAGAACGTGGACCTACTTGTGTATTAGAAACAAGTTTTGCTGTTACTTCAGAAATATGATGCACCTTTTTTATTTTTTAAATGACAATTTTAGGGAGTCTATACTGTATCTTTAACGTGATTTGGACTATCGTAAAGGATTATTGTTACAAATCATTAGAATATGATTAATTGAATATAATGTGTTAATCTTTAAGGAAATCTTCAAATAAAAAAATCAAATTTAAAGATTGTATTCACAGATATGAAGCAACTTGATTATACAAATTTCATGTGGATGCCATTGATTTTGACTAAGACATTCGTTTTCATTGTTTTGTATTCCAAAGTATTAATAAACCATTTGTTCATGCTATACAAAAATATGAAGCTGAGCAGGTGTGTAAAAGACAATCTGAGAAGATTTAGTAAGTTTGATTTCTGACTGAATCGAAAAATCGAAGTTCATATTCCATGCATTTATCATAAACTGTTTGGGCTTCGGCTTTATCGATAGCGTTAACTAGATAGGCCGCCTCTACCTGGGCTTCTAGTTTCCTCCACGTGGAACCAGCGAAGTTGTCGTTCGCCCACGCTGTGTAGATTCCTTTGTCCTGCAATAAAACATGAAACATCATTAAACAGAGAACAGGAAAGATACATTTGAACAAGGAAACAGTTTAAATAAATATCATGATCAAAATGAAAAGTAAACGTTTTTAAAAATATCTATATTTCTTTCAATTTTCTCAGGAACATCCATTTTTGAGAGGGGGGGGGGGGGGGGGGGGGGGGNAACAAGGAAACAGTTTAAATAAATATCATGATCAAAATGAAAAGTAAACGTTTTTAAAAATATCTATATTTCTTTCAATTTTCTCAGGAACATCCATTTTTGAGAGGGGGGGGGGAGGGAGGGAGGAGCTGAGGGGGTATCACCAGCGTGTTTGCCTATAAATAGAGCTCAATCAAGAAAGTCTTGACACGTTCTAATATCTTTTAATATTTTATTCATTAAAATACCCATTGAACAAATATTTTTTCAATGTTTAGAAATGTGAAAGGATATTTATGTTGTCACGGGATATATTTTCATTTCAATTTTTAGGTAATGAGCAACATAGATAAGTTCATAAATTATCATTTAAAGCAGACTATTGATTTGTATTGCAAATTATAAATGCTGCATCATATATATGAAAAGTGTTCTATTTCGGATACTCTCACGTTATATTTAGTTAGTGAATTATTCATTTTGGGAGATGCGGAACACGATTCCCCGTCGGTATGTTTATTGTTATGAGATATCTTGCGGTAATTACATACTTACTGCTGTTGCTAACTGTTGTCCTATCCAATACCATGTCCGTAGACATGGCAGTAGAGCCACAAGAAAATATATGGGATTCATAGTTTCTGCCACAGTCTTCTCATAGGCAATGTACTCAGAACAGGCCTGTCCTAGTTTTACAGCACTATCGGCAACGTTTTCTTTGATTAACCAGCCATCTAACATTGCGGTGGCGTAGCTGAAAAAGACAGTTCGGTGTTAGACAGCAGCAAAAACATTTGAATCTGGTCCGTTTACCGTATACAAGTATACATGTCTCTACTTTGCGTGAAATGATATATATATATATATATACATAATCAGAAAACATTCAAAGTCCTTGTGATGGATAAATATTAAAAAAACAAATGACAAGAGTTTCTCAGTACCTCCAAACCGCTTTCAACTCTTCAAAAGTTCATCAGGGGAACTATGATGAACCGCTAAATTGATGAAAGCGCTAGGGAGGTACTAAGAAACTAACGCTAGGGAGGTACTAAGAAACTCTTTGTATTTGTTTTATATATATGACCGATCCATTCCCAGGTAATCTTCTGCGTCTTCGACACCCACTATGTAAATCTAGGTAAAATCCAAATATTGTCATTTCCTCACATCTAGACATCTCGGGTGGTGACAGCAAAACCTGTCTTTCGAAGATTACAGAGGAGCGACACCTGACTACAAGCCTCTCAATTTTACCGTCATGCTGCCGAGTGATTCTTTGATGTATATCTAAAGATAAAACGAGTCTACATGTCCCATACACAAGGTGGCGCACACTGTGCCTTCAAATTTGTGATGCCATAATCCAGGGATGCAGAGAACGTCATTGAGCATAACTCCAGGAGTATCGAGGATTATTTTGAGGAGTGGTTTTCTGTTTTGGTCAGTATTGAGGTGATAAATCCAGCTGAGTATGCGTTACTTTAATAGAATACATGAATAATGGTTGCTGACTGAAAGTCACTGCAGAATATTTTAATATCGACGTGATCATGAATTTCCCATAGAATACGTACGTGGCATAATTCTGAGAGAGAGTTCTCAGCAAATCTGTTACAGGTCCAGGAGAGCTTCTTCTTAAAGCAGCATCTATACTTAATTTAGATTTGTATACGTAGATGGCATCCTGTATGGTAAACTGGCCTACAAGTATAAATGTGCCTGACTTGTTAACGACAGCATATGTTCCTTCTTTTTCTATTTCATTTTTTTTTCATGTGAATTACATTTTTTAGTATATGAATTAATCTACCTGTTCTTAAATGTATGTATTGCAAAACCAGGGAAAAGTATACAATGACCTTTATAAAAACATTACTGTATTGCAAAAGAAAAGCTAGGGGAGTGAAACAAAACTGATAAATATAAAAAAAAAATCTGTTTTTAAGTAATGAAAAATAATCTCATATGTCAAAGTTTAGTTAATGATGAAATAAAATTTCCCGGAAAATGGATATTCTCAGTAATCTCTTGTTATTTGACATTGAATAACAGATAACTTTTCATGATAATAAATCCGGTAAAATAAATTATACATTAGAATAGACTTACATACTAGGTGGAAAATGTTTAAGACGCACAGACCACGAAGACGTATTCATTTAGAGTTATCCAATCACAACAGATACAATCTTTATAGTATAATGATAATTTATAGAACAGTTTATGGATAGAATCCTGTGTTTTGATTTAGATCAAAACTTGCTACCATTGAGGTTAATATAAACACTATTTTTCGGTATGTCCTGCATTATTATAACGCTTTTGTATCGGCATGGATTAGAAAATGCCAAATAAAATACGACCCTTATTTAAGTAAAGGTTTTATTTAAGCTATTGTCATTCAGGGGAAAAACAGATTCTAGTACACACCTTCAGGTTTTGGCAGTCGTACAGGGATTCTTAAACATTTGAAATCCTATCTCGTAAAAACTGAGTGCTAACTTCTAGTTATTAAAATGTATCACAGAAATAGTAGGACTGGTAAAAAGTAAAATATGTACTTATCAACTTACTGAGAACTCCTAATGATAATGAAAAGTGCGAATATTCTTTTTATAATTCTGATATTTAATCATTTCACTGTTAGAGAGAACTTATCACGTTAAAACGCATCATAAAAAGACGGTGTTTAAAGTAAAATGGACAAAACAGCTAAACAAAAGAAAAATAATTTTGTCTCCAAACATGACCGGATGCTGAAACTAGGTGCTCCGGGTTTCTCTGATCCGTCATGATGTCTCTTGTCTAACAATGTAAAAATAGAGGATAGTGTGTCTGTATTAGACACAGTAACTCCATAATCTATATCTTTTTCATGAATAAAATTGAAGATAAATAAGGGAACATAAAATCTTACAAAATTTCACCGGGTCGAGGTTTTTGTCCTTGATACCCTTGACGAATGCTGCTTGAAGTATGGCCTGTCTGGTGGCGTCTGTTGCAAGCCAAAGCTGGTCTGGTAATGTCGTTGTCATGTTGCTTCTACATTATACAGACAAATGTAAAATAAAGAATTTACAAGATTCAGTACAATAATCTATGTTAAAATATGGATGGTTTGAAATAATTCTTTCCATAAAATACGCAAATGTTCAATACACTAACATATAAGGTATCAGTAGCAGATAACGTTATTAGAGCCACCTCAATGTTTCTGCAAAAGTAGACCGAGAGAAATACATACATTATCGATTATGAAATTGCAAATAATCAAGCAATCAAGTAAAAAGTTATGAAAAAAAAGGAAAACAATACAGATATACGATGATGAAATGGCTCGGTGCAGAGCACCGATAGAGATATAGCAATACTAAAGTATAAGTGTAGCGTGTATGCACTTAACAAATACTTATATATTAATAAATACTAACATACTAATGTTAAAAAAAATAAGTATTGCTAGTTTGTTTTAAATTGTTAGTATAGAATGAAAATGATGTAGAATTTTACAATCCAAGAGCCAAAACTGAGTCCATGTAATGCCGTGCAAATATATTTTATAATACACTTAGTTTCCTGTACGCTTTGAACCTACTTTTTACAAAGTCGAACATTTATGCGCCACAATTGTAAGATTTCCAAATTAATAATGTTGGATCATTACGGCTATTCGCAAGAATATTTATTGAATTTCCTTGAACAAACAAGATTGTTGCTACATGTGAATGAACGAATTCTTTTAAGTTCGAACAATAAAATAATTCGAATGTTCATGTTTAAATTTGAAAGAACTGGTGAATGCATGTGCAAGTTAAAGCTAATGATACAAAATGAAATAATAATAATTGGATAAAATAAAGAAATTAACACTATAATGACGTGTCTTAATTAGGACATTTCGAAACATCTATAATTTTGAAACATTCAGAATGTTTGGTTTGTTTGTGTTTTACGTCATATTTACAGCTATGGCCATTTAAGGACGTGTCAGGTTTTGGTGGTGGAGGAAAGCCGGAGTTCCCGGAGAAAAACCACCGACCGACAGACGCATTAACCACTTGACCACCGCGGCCTTATGCAGTCTTTTATAATAACTTTTGATATGCCAAATATAATATTTAGTCAACTTTTTGATAAAAAAACAATGTCCATGATTCTATTGAATCTTTCATATAACATATAACATATAACATAACATTGAAATTGACACCAAAAGTATAAACTATCAAAAACACAACGTAGACTAACATACCTTTCTTTTTGATTGCTTCGCCCTGTAACTAAATCTTCAAGGCACTTTGTCACTTCGTCGCTTTGGAGCTAGTGATGAATATGTAGCACGTTTGGTAGGTTTATATATGGCGCTGGCATCAATTACTTATCTGATTCGACACAAGATCTTTCTTAAATGTCTAAAAGTATCATGCGTTAGTACTACACCAACTTGTACGCCTTATCGTTTAGACTTTTCCATAATAAGTTTGTCTAATTTCTAAAACGTAGTCCATTAAGTCTGATGAAATACAAACTTACATTAACAATTTTAGATTAAGGTAAAGTGAACTATCCAGTTATAATACATGTTATTATCATGGTCACTTATACGAAATATTTGTATAAGTCCTTTAATTTAAATCACATCACGCAATGCATTTTCAGAATTATAGTGGTTCAAAATTTAGAAAAATATAAACTCCAACTAGCCAGGTCAAACTAAGGACCTGTGCATTGCCATTGCATACTTTCGAATGTGGCCATACAGGAATTACAAGCATTCAGCATCAAAATCAGGGCCTATCTTTCCTGCCGATAGGTCTAAAATAACCTTGAGCATTGATAGATAGATAGCTTGGCAAAGGAAATAACTGTTTTACTGAGAAAACTCGTTGGTGGTTGTTATCTCTTCTACAAAAAACTAAGCAAATCTCTAAGTAAATAAAAAACAGCTCTAAGTGGAGCACTTCTTTGCGAATATAAATGAATAAGTGATATACTTTGTCTTACTCTGAATGAAGTTTAAGCATAATGATAAATGATTTCTTCAATTTTGATAAAAATGATAGTTTTAATATGTTTACTTGATTTAATATTACAATATGATTTATATTTTTGTAATAAAGATGTAATGAGGAGGTCACTATATATTTTCTTCAATTCAAGGACATAACAATCTCTACTACAGGCTTCTACTGCAGCTCGATCTTTAATAAAACATGACCAACAGGCAACTTCTAAGCTTATAAAAAGCTGGTCGATTCCAATTAGAAGATGTAGATGTAGACTGCTGTCGGACAAATGTACAACAAAGGAATTTCAATGATACAGGTTAATGAAGACTATGGACAAGTGTTATAGTCTGATTGGAAATCTATTTGGAAATATGCAATTTCTTTGTGTGATATGATTCTATATTTTTAGTGCTCATGTTTGTGCCTTGTTTTTTGGTTGTCACGACCCCCAGTTTTCGCTATAAGGACATGGCATTATCTTGATTTGACCTAGATTTACATGGCGGGTATCGTCGATGTAGCAAAAGACGCTTACCGTTCCGGAACACCTGGTCTAATTCTACTTGAATTTTTAAGCGGTCTCCATAGGATTTGTTTCCTTTGTTCGTATTTTGCCGTAGATATATCGATTTTAGTTCAATTTGGGTTTTGATTTTATTCTTTATTTTTTCTTACTGTTTCGTTTTTTCTCAGTTAAATTTTTGAACATTATATTAAATCCCAGTTACTTCACATATAAAAGTTATTTCATGATATTTACGCCGACAAGCTAATATGCTACACAAGGGATAGAGTAAAATTCCTTTGTGTCACATCATCGAGAGGAAGCGTCCAATTTGTTGGATGTTTTTTCAATTACTTATAGCTATTTGCGAAAGAAATAAATTTATTGGATTTTTCAATCATTGGCCTTCTTGATTATAAAGCAGGAAGTGTAATAGCTGCGTTACAGATCATGATATTTAGTCCATAAAACTTTTCTGCAGCATTTCTGAGAATAAGTTCAATTAGCTCCAGCTTCCTTCTGACCTTAATCGTTTTTTATTATGATGCAGTTAATAAAATGCATAGCTTGATATAACAAGAAGATAATCTATCTGTCATTATATATTGTTTGTTCTGTCTAAAGCAGCTAGAAATATAGTAGGTCTATTAAATGTGATTTAGACATAATTCATCTTTCTAAAACATTTGTATTAGCAAGGAATGATGTTCATTTAAGACATTTTTATTCATTTACATTACTATATATAAGGCTGTTTGTTTGCAATATCACCATACCCGGTAGATCTTTTGAAAACACCGACGTGACCAAAGGAAGGGTAAGTAAACAATATGTATATACATATTGATATTATATTGATATATTTATGATATATCTCTTTGACTAAAATGTTTGTACTAATTTAACTCGATTTTATCATGCTATAATTTTAATGCAATCTTCTCGGAGTAATTTGAAATGTCTTTTCTTTTTCTGATTTCTGCTTTCGTGCAATATTAAGATGTTCAATGCCATAAAACTCGTTTGTTTGTCTCTTTTGATTAATCAAGCATATTCAAAAGAAACCCTTCATTTTAGAATTTATGTGCATTTACTACAAACGCTTAAAATGATCACAAAACAGATATTTTGAAATTTTTACAAAATTTTCATTTGTACAAATTACTCTCGTCTGTCAAATAGTTTGAAATTGTTTTTTTTTTTATTAATTATCATTTTGGGCATCGTCATTAAATTTATCTCTGCATCTTATTAATTTTTGTAGCGTTATATGTAAATATTTCACTATTAAATTTACTGTTTGAAGCTGGTATTAAATATGTTTAATGATCACCAAGGAGAAAAGAATAAATTGCTCTTCTTACATCTGCCACATGTAATTAAGAAGGGATCAGTATATTATTTGTTATTAAATACCGTTTCGAGCACTTCTATCCGTCATTTTAAGGCTGAAAGTAATACCTGATCAAGAAGTGTTAATTGCAGTTGACTGTGTGCAATACAGAGTTTGATTTCGTGAAGTTTTTTTGTTCTCATTAAAATAGACAATATGCTACTTGAATAGAAAACGATCGTCTTCAAATATCAATAATTCAATATATAAGCTGGTTAGATTCACTCATGATGGTTTTCCTTGTGTTTGAATGTCTCTTACACCGAAATCAAGTTCTGTAGTTACATTATGTGTTGTCTTTGTCTTATGTAACTTTATTTATTATCCTAACAGAAAGATATTACCGACACGATGTCTCGTAAAACAGTGGTAAGTTCAACATGATTTTCACCTCAGTTTGCCAGAAGTTCTGTGTCAAAACTCAATGGAAGCCGGAAATGTAAAGGAAAACATTATATCTAGAAGATATAGAAGATATTCTTAAAATGTATCAAGTATTACAACAATGTAAAATCGAAAAATGTAAAATTTAACAATGGAAATTATGACAATTTTTTAATAATATGAGTTATAGGAATTTACATGAAGTGTCTAGAACAACAAGTCAAAACTTTATTTTTCAATGGAAATAATGACGACATTAAGACATCCAGCAAATGAAAAGTTTTAAATGGAAATTATAACAATTTCACTGTTATGTCAAAAAGGCTTAAGTTTTGCATGATATTCTATATTCTACGACAGTATAAATATGATAATGAAAAAAAAAAAATGTTATATAGTTTTCATCGGGATGCATGTTCCTATTGATTAATTAAGATGGCTTATTTTCTTACCTAGACCCAGATGTCTGATGACGTAGGTGCGTTCACTGATACCCTCTGGAATGGAACTGTGGCTGTGCGAAACTCAATCTTGAATGATGCCTTTATCCAGCATATAATTAGCGGGGATTTTGATCCATCCAAATTCGGTATGTATACATATAGTCAGACAACGACATTTTATTATTTAGATTATTTGCTCGACTTCACATTTCATTTAAATATTACGAACTACCTGGAAAAAAAATTGCACGATTTTCACCATTATTTTAAGAAGCTGATAAAATGCTACATATTTTCTTCGTATTTTTTTAAAATCTGCAGTATTTAAATTCGCTAGATTATCGCAATAAAATTCTATGTTAAACACTATAAAGCATAAGAACATTGATAATCCTTTGACTGTTAAGGGTTTTGATTTACAATTGCGTCTATTTATTAACAGGAAAATTTGGTGTACAGAATACACTTTTTACATTCAATACTCATGGGTTTATCGAATTGGCCAAGTCTAAAACTGGGAGTGATATACCAATCCAAACCATTTTGGAACAGGTGTCTGCGGAGTATCAGAAGTAAGACCTTTTGCAGTGTTTTTTTATATTAGCAGTTTCAGACTTAATCATTAATAATAGGTTCATTTAACTTCGGTAAGTAACTTCCAATACACTAACGTCACCTTTTACGAAGCTTGCATTATGTCAGCGACGCTCTCCGAGTAAGAAGTATCAGTTTTAACATAGCAATAATAAAAAATATCTCATAATGTGTATCTGTTTCTAACTTGTTTACAATTGGCATATGCATTGTTACAAGCTGCATAATTGTATACCATTTTGTCCATTCATAAACTAAGCGTTTTTATATATTATCTCTAAAGTAGCAAACTGCACGAATATTCCTCACATAAAAACAAAGTTTGTAAGTGATTAGCCACAGGGTTTGATAAGTTATAAGATTTCGAAGACACATAAGCGCATTATACTGTGAACAAGATTTACACAAACAGCACACATGTCAAGCTGTTCAAGAAGGACCTAGATTTATAAGGATTCTATTTCCTTTGTTTCTGAGATTGATCTTCATATTATTTGTCACGTGATGCCTTTTTTTCTTCATTTCACAACAAGCTAAGCGTTTTTATCATTTCTGACCCTGTAGTCAGTGGGGATTTTGTCTATCGATTGAAATTCCATGTACACGTATTTGCATGTACACATAGTGTTAACGATAGGTTAAAATTTGTATCTGATGTATGATGTTTTTCAGCTCTTACGCGGCCATGAAGATAACATGGAGTGTTCAAGACACCACTGGATATAATTTAGACCCGGCGACACAGGCCTACGTCAGTCATGAAAGGACAGTTGCTACTGATAACACTCCGGTTTACACCCTGGTGGCCGTACTTGCACGTATGAGGCTTTGGTCTTGGCTAGGAGGGCATATGCAAAAAGTAAGCAAATGAAGTCGTCATTACTTATGTTTTGTCTTTATATATTTTATAATGTTACCAGTTCAAAAATTGGGTTACATTTATAAGTTTTAACTAGTCGAATAACCTCTTGGGCAGTTTAAGTTTTATTCATTACGACCGAGCATCGGATTAACTGGTATCCAAAAGAAATCACGTTTTTCGTTGGTTCATCCACAGCTGCATTACACAGCTGCAAAAGTACATTAAATTACCCCGCTGACCCGTCCATGTTTGTTTTGGTGGAATGTTTGATATTTGTTGGCTATTATGTTTCCATAACGCTTACTTACCCAGAATCCGAAATTCAAGATGGCCAATCATTTTTTCGTTGGTACGACTTAGTCCATACTTGGCGTTAAATTATACAAGTGAATAGTCCTGACGTTGACGTATTGTATATTAGATTCCATGATCAAATATTGCCTCAATAACTTTGAATTAATCAATACCTGTCAGACTTTAACTTCTATAGCATTGGTTAAATGTGTTCATACTTGGTAGTTTTAATATTGCCACTACCAATTTCTTGCAATATTTGTTAGCGTATTCCGTCTTTGCGTATTGCAGAATTATCTTCTCTTGAGAACAGGAATTGATTGTTACGTCATTTGTTAAAGAGAGTAACGTCATCAATTTTTAAGAAAACGACGTAATTTTCTCACACAAACCAATGACGTAACAATCAATACCTGCTCCCAAGAGAAGATAACTCTGCAATACGCAAAGACGGAATACACGTTTATAAATAATGTTATTATTTTTTCATATTATTACAAACAATTGATTGGCCAGGAGTGAATCACGTGTCAACCGATAAAAACTGATATTGACTTGGAGCGCGTGATTTTTGTTGAAGGACTGGGTGTTTCTATAAATAGAATTATGACGTGTCTCCAAACAATGCACCTCCCGCTGCCGTAGTTTTTTTGCTGTGTTTTTTTTTTATTTGTAAGATTGCTTACATCCCTGTTTTGTAAAGGATAAAACAATTGTAGCCTTTGGCGTCCGAGTTCAATATATCTTTTCTCAGGTCGATAAATCCAGGTATCGACCTCAGCCAAAGGCTATAATTGAATATTATATGATTTTGGAATTGCAATATATTGTAAAAAAATCAACTATTTGTTAAGGTTTAAGCACAGTCATGAAATCATTCTAAATAACTAATGCCATTTGTTTATTACTTTTCTCCAAATTAAGATTGTTCGGTTGAGACCTTCACAATTTTATAAAATAATTTTCAAATTATTATTAAAAATTATTGAATTGATGCTCAAATTCCGTTTTCAATATTTAGATATACAATAAATATTGTCATATATTGCAGTATTCACTGAATTATTACCAGCTATTGTAATATGCAAATTGCATGCAACCCCACCCCTAATACAAATGGCCAGGCAAACGAGGAGAGCCCATTAACCTGTCAGTATTCTTGTTGATTTACTGTAAAATGGATTTTTTTGCGTTTGTCAATGTTCTCGTTGTGACTCTTTAAACTGTGGGCGATGTGGAAATTTTTCGCATTGGCAATGATTGTGAATATATATATTCTAGATCTCAAAAATCTAAATAATAAACCAATAAATATTAGCATGAGGATAGTCTCATACTAATATACTCAATACAGATAAACGCAATTACTTCCACTTTCACAGTAGTTACTGTAAATCGCTTTTGTATGCTGTTGTTTGTATGAAATTTTAATGGATTTACACTCAATTATCAAAAAGAAATGTGATATTTCTTTATTTTCATTACTTATAGGCAAATATGGGCGTATACAGAAGATGGGCGACATTGACCTTTGACCCACAGAACACTGCATATGAAGCTGTACAAACTGCTCTAAACGCTGCCTTTGCTAGGAATATCATCGATCTGCCGACAGCACAGAATATATTTGATACAAGTATGCAATGTGAGAGGGACTTTTTCACAGCATTTGTCTAGACGGATACTGACAATGTATATATCCAGTTTCTTGTTTGCTGTCTCCAACCCAAAACGTGTAAGCTGTTCTTTTAGTTCTTGCTTTTAACGCGTGGATAAATAAATATTATTCTTGACTGCCATATTGTCAATAACATTGGTTATATTATAAGTTACTTCTGCAATAAAAACGAATATTTAAATCTGATGTTTTTGTTTGTTTAATCACGTAATTTCATTTACTTATGAGATGCTATGTTAGTAGGGGTAAATCAAACTTTGAGTTAAGAAAAATCACACAGCGGCAACACAAACGGAAAATAAAAGAAATAAAAAATCGTTACTAATAAACAAGAGAAAATGAGAAATCTACCAGATCAGAAATCCGTCAGAATTAATTAATATACACATCCACAAACACTATCGGTTTCCTCACTCGCGAAACATGCAAGGTGTTGGCAAAAAGAAATTGGTAACCAACTAATAGAAAGCACCCTATACATTGTTTATCGTTGCTCAATCTTCTAATTATGGCATTACTCCCCGATCACACAGGAATGATGTATTCCCAAGAGAAACTATAGGTTTCTAGATAATACTTGTGGGAGAAGAGTGTTCCCGAACCCGTGATGGTTGATTGACATATTTATCTAACCCTCGTTCGTGTAATGTTAAATTGTAAAAGACACTCGGTAAACATCGTGTTTTCATACAAATTGAAACTCAACAAACTTGATTGAGGTAAACATGATAACCAACCATCACTCGTTGGGGAACCTCTGTTACCAATATGCTCAGATGTATTGATTCTTTGTTAAAAATGACTAGAAATACATAAAATTGAAACAACTATTCGAACGTTTTGTTTGTAGATGCAAAAAATCAAACTAAGTCACCATTCTACTGCACCTTATGGTCATTCCGTCCATTTGAAACCATCAGTGGATGGTACTGAAGGGAAAACTAATAAAAAAGTCTTCGGTTTAAGATTCCCGAAATTATATAACTATGATTATAACAGACTTGTGTACGACCCCTATAGAACGACGCATATTAATTAACGTTTCGACATAATGTAGAGAAGTGTAATATAACACTAAGCATTAATAATTATTTGACAGGAGGTTAGTTATATAACTTTGTAATAGGAGTAAGAGAAATGCAGGACCAGACGAGAATTCGAACACGGGACCCTCCCAAAACGGACGCTCTACCAATGAGCTACCTAGTCGCCGGCGATCGACCCAGTTCAGTTCCGCTACATTTTAATAGAGTTATCCTTCTTATCCTACTTAACTATTGAGTCAGTGACACGAAGTAATTTTAGATAGATTGCCGAATAGGGGCAGAGTAACATTGAAAATGAACCTTTGTGGAAAATTGAACTGGGATCAGTTTTCATCATTAAAAAAAGGAATCAGAAGTCGTTAAAACCTGACTCTCATGTTGAAAATAGACTGCATATAGGGTCACTGTTAGAACCAGTTGTGCATACTTATAGTAAGGTTGTATAGCTGTTACAAAATAGCACTTTTGCCTCTTTGCAATGGGGTTTTTCGCCGACTTACCTATTTGCTATTTGACGCAAATCTTAGAGGGTTTTATTCCCCCATGCCATTCTAAATGTGATCCCTGTTCTATTTTCTACAGTGGTCAAGATCAATGTTACTCTGCCCCAATTCGGCCATTGTAGGATTGATAACCATGTTTAAGAAACTTATCTTATCTTGTATTATTGGCTTTATGGCTAACATAAGGGTTAGAAGGATAACACTGTTCAAATTATATACTTAACTTCCTGTCAAATAATAAGTTATGATTATTGTTATATTACGCTACTCTACATTATTATACAAATAGTTGTCAAAACGGTAATATGCACCGTCCTACAGATGTTATACAAAAGTCTGTTATAATCATAGATCCCCTTTCATCTCATTCTAATGCTGACAATCAATGCTAAGAACAAGTATGAAAATAAGCGATATTGTGAAATATGAGAAAATAATAATAAAACTAATATTGATATAGTACCAGGAGATAGTTCAAACAAAGTAAATCTACACCATAACATCGTCAATTAAAATGAACAATTATTAAAGAAATTTGAAACCTCGATGCTGACCAGAAGTCTACAACCATTATCGAATTATTATGATTATGTACTTTTACTAATATGTACTTCCGGAGAGAGGACTTGTGCATGCTTAGTTTGTTGTTCAATTGCCATTATCCTCCATACTCTATGGATACGCTCACTTACGCTCTTTGCATTCCTGGAATATGTCATGGCAAAATTGAATAAACGCATTTAGCTAATTAATAGGTCTCAGGTAAATAAAACTGATCAATCGCAAGACTAATATATAGTCTTCAAAAATTACAGAGGATTGACACATGACTTCAAAGCAAATCAATTTTACCGTTACGCTATTGCGGGATTCGTTTGATGTGAATCAAAAGAACGAACTAGTTTCCTTGTCTCATCCTCAAGGTGGCACACACTGTGATTTCGATTTTGCTAAGATATTTCAATGGGTGCAGAGAACGTAGGTTAGCGTTATATATTAAGTACCAAGGATGAATTCCATTATATCTGAACGATTTGATAAAATAAAAAACTATTTGAAATTAATGCATCAATCATATACCTATACCCGTATCATTTGGTTTATCAAGTTAGGGTAATGTGAAGTAAAGTTAACTATTGCGTTCAGACATATTGGAGTTAAATAGGTGTTTCCTTTGTTCGATTTTTTAGCCAATTGCATTTTTTTCGGGCTAGCAAGAAGTATTTGGATAATGTAGGTTAACTTAAGGGGCCTACGATTTAATCTGTTTACAACCTGCAGAAGGTATATATCATACAATAATACACAGTTAGAGAAAAGTGATGTATGTTTGCTGCTAACAGAGTAGGGATATCATCCATTAAATACAATATGTAGCGGTTACATAAATAAATGATTAATGAATGATACAAGTATTAATAAGGCTACAATTTCCTGTTTGAACACATTGAAATGTAGTTTCTTCTGTTCCTTTGATATAGTATATGTGTAGAGAATTACAATGCATGATGTCGTACTGATGTGGTGGCTTCTCATTTTCTCCTGTTTTCTATGTGTACCGACTTTATAGATTTCTGTTATTTTCCGTTTACGTTACTGTTGTATTATTTTTCTCAACTTTTAAATGTTGATTTGTGTACCGCTATATCGCCTTCATAAATAAAGGATTTTTCATGATGAAGTAAACGAAAACACCAGATTTATACATAAGTTTTTATTGCCGAAGTAACGTTAAAAATACAATTGACAATATGGATGTCACGAATAATATTAAGTTATCCAAGCTCTATCCATGCATCACAAGCAATAACTAAAAAAACAGTTAGCATGCTTTGAGTTTAAGACAGCCAACAAGAAACTGGAGACATACAATAATCAGTATCTCTCTAGACAAATGCTGTGAAAAAGTCCCTCTCACATTGCATACTTGTATTAAATATATTCTGTGCTGTCGGCAAATCGATGATATTCCTAGCAAAGGCAGCATTGAGAGCAGTTAGTACAGCTTCGTATGCAATGTTCTGTGGGTCAAGGGCCAATGTCGCCCATCTTCTGTAAACGCCCATGTGGATCTATAAATAATGAAAACCGAGAAATTTCACATGACCAAATGCCGTTTTAATTTCCCCTCTAACCTTTTTTATTATTATTTTAATACATGTTTTCAAAATTTCAAGCTAAAATTATTAATCGCGAATAATTGATTCATTCATACAAACAACATCATACAAAAGTGAATTACTGGGAAAGTGAAAATGTTCGCGGTGTGGAAATAGTTGTGTTTTTTTCCATTGCCCAAATGAGCGCAAATATATCCATTTGCTCATATTAATAATAGATTATTTATCATATTGATATAAAGAATATACAGATTACGATTAATTGCTAATGGGAAATATTCCACATCGCGTTCAGTTTAAAGAGTCAGAACGAGAACATTTTCACACGCGAAAAAAATCTACTTTTACAGAAAATCTATTTGCAATACCATCATATACTTGCATAAAGTTTAAGCAAAAATGAGGGACCAATTGCATCATCTTAGCGTACATCTTTAAATGCTTGACACAATCTGACATTTGTTTTACCTTTGAACTTGAGGTAAAGGCCACAGTGATCTAATGACACTGCATCGCACATCATCTGTAGGTGATACAGTTATATATACTGCAAGTTTCATCAGATATCTTTAAGGGTTTAAAAGTTACAGTTTGACAAGATGTTCCTGAACAATTAGCACATATTTGACCTTTGACCCAAGGATCAAGGTCACAATGAACTAATGACAGTGCACTGCACATCGTCTATGGGTGATGACGGTATACTGCAAGATTCATCAATATATCTTAAATGGTTAAAAGTTACGGCCTGGACAAGATCATTTAAGAAGAACCAGAACCTGAACAAGAACCAGAAGAACCAGTACTAATACTTATTTTGACAGGTTAATCAGGACCCCCTCTCCTCGTGTGCATGACCATATTTATTGGGGTGGTTATGGCAAGCACTTTTCAAAATATCTGGTAATAAATACAGGAATATTGCAATGTATCGCATTATATTGTATTTATAAAATTCATTACATCTAAAATTCATCTACATTGAAAACGGAAAGTGAGACTCAATTTAATCATTCCTAATAATAATTTGAAAATTATTTCATACAATTTTGAAGTTCTCACACCAAACAAGCCTAATTTGCGGCAATGTTTGTTAATGGGATCATACCATTTGGGATTCACTGAAACAATCAACTTAAAATATTTTACCACCAAGCACATATAAATATTTTATGCTGAGTAAGGAGATGCACGATAAAAACAGATACTTTCCTTGAGGCTAGGAGACTCCATATATCAAATTAATATTTTTACTGTAGCTGTTGGTACATCTTAATATAAACCTTAATATATGTGAAATATGTGTTATCTTCTTAATCGACAAGTGCGTTTGATACACATTTAAAAGTTCAGAGAAAGTTTATGCTGACCTGATGCTCTTTGCATTTCCAACTGATATGACTTTTTAAAATCAGATAATAGGGTAATATATGATAACAGATTTGTGCATGGTTCAGTCAGCTGTTGTTAGGATTTACAACTAGTGTTTTTGGTATTAAACAGCGAATTGAAATACCGTAGTTTTTAATATGAAACGAGGAAACCATGCAGCATTTTCTCTGCTTATAACAATAGTGAAAATCGCACAATATTATTTTTCTTACGAATTCTTAATATTAAAATGAAATTTTATCTTTCTTTTACACGTACAGATGTTGAGAAAATTATCTAAATAATAACATTTCGTCTTCTCACTATTTGTATACATACCGAATTTGGATGAATATAACTACCCACTAATTATATGCCGGATAAAATCATCAGTCAAGATTAAGTTTCGAACAGCCGCGGTTCCATTCCAGAGTGTATCAGCGAACGCACCTACGTCATCAGACATCTGGGTCTAGGTAAGAAAATAAGCCATCTTAATTAATCAATTGAATAGGAACATACATCCTGATGAAAACAATATAACAATTATTGTTCATTATCATATTTATACAGTCATAGAATATGGACTTTCATGCGAAACTTATTCATTTTTGACATAATAGTAAAATGGTTATACTACATGTATATATAGTTATTAAATTGGAATTATTTATTGTTGAACACGTACTTTACATTGCTAGTAATAAAAACATGTACTATTTTTGATATTCATGGTTATACTATTTTATTCCGTATGATTTTACAGACGAAATTTCATAAACCAATCAAGCTGCCTTTCTCAAAATTTCAAAGGGTTTTGAAAATGTATTCATGCTTTCTGTTTCAAGTGATAGCGTTCAATACCAACACGAATTTTTGGTTTCTTTTTGCAACATTGTCAAAAATATCCACCTGATTAAATACTGTTAACGAGAAATGTTCACCGCAGTTAAGCATTCGCCCTTCTTAACGAGAGTGAATTACCATGAGAGCAAACGTCAGAATACAGCATACCCTAAATAGTTCATATAGGGTATGGATGACGAAATTGACACTTGAGGAATACAGACTTTCACAGTGAAGAGCGAATACTTTACTTGGTGGAAGTTTTCTGATATATAGACATGTATTGGTTTTTAAGTCCTTTTACAATTAGGTGTTGATTAACCAATCTTCTAGTTATAGTGCTTTTCCTCTACATTTCCGGCTTCCATTGAGTTTTTGCACAGAACTGATTTCAAATTGGGGTTGAAATCGTTTTGAGCTTACCTTGGATTTGCATCGACGAGACATCGTATCGGTGATATCCTTCTGTTCAGATAATAAATAAATATACATGTGAAAAAGATGTACGACAAAGACAACACACATTGAAGTTACATGAATTTAATCCGATGCAATAGAGAAGGCATTGAAACACATTTCATGGGTCTCAATGAAAAATCGGAAGTGAAACCGACTATCCTGGAGAGGTTAGAAGACTCTTTCGTGTCCAGGTGTGTACGTAGGATAGGGCAATTCCCACTGAGGGATATTAACATTTGTTAAAACTGGGGCTTTTTCACCAATTGGATCCTTAACCCCTGGGCTATGAAATATACTTTTTACTTTTTCCGATCACCAGAATGATCATAGAAACCACAATAAGACATTGCATTTTTCTTGTCAATGCATCGGAATGTTCCGAACCCGTGACGGCACGTCATTGTTATCCCATTGTAACGCCACGCACGTGACAAGGAATGTGGTATTAAACTATCTTTCACCACTTTGTTTAATAGATAAATACAAAACCCTTTGCAGTTCTGTCATATACGCACAGGAATGAGAGAAAAAACATCGACCTTCACATCACACAAATAAATAGCATATGTCCCTTTAAGGTCACGACAGTTACCATTAAATTTGTCAAAGACAACATAAACCTGCTTCTTTTGAAACATTTTCTTTTTTGCTGACCTACCTACCATTGTCATGAACAAAAACACCTTCCGCAGATCGGAAAAGGGCTATACTTATTAATAAATATCAACTTAAATACCCTAACAACCTTAAAGTCAATTAATCCATTAATTACATAATTAATATTGAATGTATTACTGCAGGATAAATGATAATGCGTCTTAATTTCATTTTGATGTACTCTAGTACAAGCAAAGTTTATCATTTTGATGGAAAACTGCAGAAAGGTTTCTCATATCCTACATATTAAAATATTGATATTTGCAGACGATTTTTTTTCTATTCAAGTAGCATGTTCTCAATTTTGATAAGAAGAAAATAAATTTCACTGAATTAAAATCTGTATTTAGATGTGCTCTTTCCTTTGTTCGTGTTTTTAGAGATTAATCTATATCACAAGGCGGTTGACTCTGCTAGAGGATACGCAGCCATTGAAGTATGGCGTAGATGTTGTTTCCTGGAACGTTCACATGAAAAACTAGTTAAAGCATACATTACCTGTTGTAACCTAGAGTTGTAGGTTTGTAACGTTAAAAATGATTGTTTTAGGCACCTTTCCCCTTTTTGCTGCACCTTTCATATATATTTGGGAACAATGTAGATGATGAATTCTCATTTTTTTGCCATGTCGTACCTCTAAGAAATGATAAATAAGCGAAATTGCCATATAATTCAACTAAGTGTTTTCTTTGCACGACCTCTTCTACATCTTAAATCAAATTTTCAAGCAGATACCTCTAGTCTACATATCTTAAGTAATTATCATATCCATATTTCGAGGTAGAAATTAACTAAACGACGATTAGAGAATAAATATTTAGGTTAGGAACAATTTCGAAATATCTGACAGAGGGGAACACTTTGTGCAATTGATCAAAATGTTGTAGAAATTAAAAAAAGTCCTGTTTTGTGATCATTTGAAGATTTTGTGCAGCATCAATTCCCAATGAAGAATTTCATTTGAAAAAAATGATTCCCTAATTAAAACGAATATACAAGCACACGTGTTTTATGGCTTTGAACATCTTAATATTGCACTTATTAAGTGCAAATAAGAAAATGAAGACACATATACTAATTCTGAAGAATGCATTAAACAGTTTTACATGTTCAAATCGAGTTAAATTAAAACAAATATTTTAGTCAAAGAAAATAAGTCAATATGTATATACATACTATTTACTTACCCTTCCTTTGGTCACGTCGGTGTTTTCAAGAGATCTACCGGGTATTGTGATATTGCAAACAGATACCCTTATATGTAGTAATGTGAATGAATAAAAATGTCTGAAATGAACATCATTCCTTGTTAATACAAATGTTTTAGAAAGATGTATTTGGTCTAGATCACTTTAAGAAAACTTTAATATGCCTACTTTTAGATATTCTATAATTCAAGCTGCTTCAGACAGAACAAACAATATATAATGACATATAAGTCATCTTGTTTTTTTAATCAAGGCTATGTATTTGATGAATTGCACTATAATCAATATACAAAACGATTAAGGTAAATAGAAAGTTAGATGTTTTGTAAGTTTGAGCATTTTAAAATTATTCTCAGCAATGCTGCAGAAAAAAATTAAGGAACAAATATCATGATATAAAGTGTAGTGGATAAGCTTTCTACTCTAAAATAAATAGGCCAAAGAATTCTTTCTTTCACAAAAAGCTGTAATTGAAAAAGGCAGAACATTTTCAAACAAAACGGACCCTTTCTCTTGATGATACGACACAAAAGGAATGGGACACTCTCCTTTAGATAGCTTATCAGTTTGTCGGCGTTAATATCGTTGAAATTACTTTTCTCCACAATCAGCTCTCACCTTATTTAATTTCATTATTTTATCATTTTATTATTATATTTTAACCAACAAATATTTACAACTGTGCTGAAATCTTGCACACACGTGTTCACTAAGTTATATGTATATAGGAAGTTAACAGTGATTTAACAAAAATGTTAAAAAAAAATAAACGAGGAGAACTAAAAACCGATTAACTATGGGCAAAATATGAACAAAGGAAATGTTTACACGGAAGCCATTTAAAAAATATAGGTGGAATAAGACTAAGTGTTCCGGAAGGATAAGCGTCTTTTGCTTCATCGACGATATCCGACATGTAAATCTAGGTCATATCAAAGTAATGGCACGTCCTCATAATGAGAACCCGGGTAGTGAAAACAAACAAACAAAGCACAAAAAAGAGCATTTAAAGTATCGTATCATATCACACAAAGCAGCTGTATATTTCCCAATAAGATCATCTATAAGATTATAATGCTTGTCCATTAACCGGTATCTTAGAAATCTCTCTGTTGTACGTTTGTCCGCCAGACGTCTTTATCTACATCTAATTATTGAAATCGAACAGCTTTTTATAAGCTTAGTAGTTGCTTGTTGGTCATGTTTTAGTAAAGATCGAGCTGTAGTAGAAGTCTGTAGTAGAGATTATTATGTCCTTGAATTGCAGAAAGTATATCCTGACCTCCTCATTCCAACTTAATTACAAAAAATAACGTTAACTTAAGTTTGTCAGGACCATGAGCTGATCATTCCTAGACCGAGTTTCAGTTAAATAGGCCTTTAAGAACTTGTTTTTAAGTTAGAAAAAAATATTTTCAAAATAGCCGCCGTGGTAGCCATATCGGATTTCTGATCAACCCGAAAAAGAACACTTTGTCAGGACCATGAGTTGATCATTCCTACAAAGTTTCAGTTTAATCGGCCCAGCAGAACTTGACTTAAAGTTTGAAATATTTTTTTAAAAATGGCGGCCATGTCGGCCACATTGAATTTCTGATTGACCTGAAAAATAACAACACTTTGTCAGGACCATGAGTCGATCATCCATACCAAGATTCAGTTCAATCGGCCGAGCAGAACTTGACTTTAAGTTTGAAAAAGTTTTTCAAAATGGCGGCCGTGGTGGCCATATTGGATTTCTGATCGACCCGAAAAATAACAACACTTGGTCAGTAATTTTCCCATGAAATGTTGATGAAATCCCTCTGCAAGTATTTCAGCTTAAGTTGAAAATTTAAAATGTTAACTGGATAGCTCACTTTAATTAAACCCTAAATTTCTTAAGTTTGTTTGCATTTTATTAGATTTAATGGATTCAGTTTTAGAGAGTAGACAAATTTATTATGGGGAAGTCTAAACGATACGTCGTACTAGTTGTTGTAGAACTAACACATGATACTTTCAGACATTTAAAAAAGATCTTTTGTCGAATCAGATAAGTAATTGATGCCAGCGCCATATATAAACCTACCAAACGTGCTACATAGTCATCACAACTAGCTCCAAAGCGACGAAGTGACAAAGTGCCATGAAAATTTAGCTACAGGGCGAAGCAATCAAACAGAAAGGAATGTTAGTCTACGTTGCTTACTTTTAAATAGTTTGTATAACTTTGGGCTTTGGTTTTTTATCAAAAAAGTTGACTAAATATACCATTTGGTATTTAAAAGTTAACACAAAGAAATACATTGTCTTTATTAATCAAATTTTCTTTATTTTCTTTTTTGTTAGACACCAAAATGTACAAATGTTTAAATCATGGTCAAAGTGTACAGAAAAAAAGTGTATTATTAAATGTATTTGCACGGCATTACATCGAAATTGTAGAACATCTAATTTTGTTTTTAAAGGTAACATGTTTCTAAACAGAGCCATGAATATTTTCATTTTACTTACAGTACATTTGAATGTCATTGAAAACTAGATGGCTACCTAACATTATATGTATGCAATTACCTTTTCCCGTCATTTTATCTGTCAGTTATCTTCTCTGAACAAAGAATAAGATTATTTTGCCTAACTGATAAATGCAATTGCAATTCTGTTCGTGAAATTCAGTGACATTGTGCAATGTATTCGTATATCAATCTGTTTGTAACAAGATTTGTCTAAACCTTTTTCTGTTATATTTAATGGATACCATAGCATTTTATTGTCAACTTTAAGCAATACCATCACATCTTTAAATTTTGGCTATTGATTGCTTTCAATGATTTCAGCCATGTTCCCCTCCGGAAAGACAGCTAGTGTGCGCCGTGACGTCATGACGTATGTTGCGAGGCAAGTCCGCCAGATGAGGTTAGCGTTGGAAATAGTTCTGTCGAGTTGACTGTGTTAAATGAGTTATATTTGTACTTATTATAAGAGATATTATCTAATAAAGACGCCTCGTACTGAGCAGCCAATCTCTTATCCGCGGGTCGAGATTCCCAGTCCATGGACCACATCTATATAACATTCTATTAGTCCAACCTTTCATTTCGATAATGTAGGTATTTATCTCGGGTCGACTTTAGCATGATCATTAACATAGCTCTAAATACGTTATTTTCAAATAATACTTAATAGTTAAGTGTATTGTACACTTGCAATATTTTAAAAGAAGGATTTATTTTAAACCATCCTTGTTTTAACATAAATTATTGTGCTGATTCTTGTGCCGATTATTGAAGCAAAATAACAGCAACTTTACCACAGCAGCTCTGACTTGTAACATACCCCACCAGACAGGCCATACTTCAAACAGCATTCGTCAAGGGTATCAAGGACAAAAAACTCGACCCGGTGAAATTTTGAAAGATTTTATGTACCTTCATTTATCTTTAACTTCATTAGATAAATATAGATTATGGAGTTAACGTGTCTAACACATTCACGCTATTTTCTGTCGACGCTGACTGAAATCTATTTTCCTATGTATATGAGAAGATACATCGTCAACGAAACCAGAAGCACATAGTTTCAGCCTCCGGCAACAGTTAAATGATTAAATATCAGAATGATAAAATAATATTCGCACTTTTCGTTATCATAAGGAGTTCTCGTTAAGTTTATGGTACATATTTTATGTTTACCAGTCCAGCTATTTCTGTGGTTCATTTTAATAACTATAAGTTAGCACTCGTTTTTATTACGAGATAGGATTTAAAGTGTTTAAGAATCCCTGTACAACTCCCAAAACCTGCAACTATGTATAGGTAACTGTTTCCCCCAGAATGACAACAGCTTTGATACAATCATTACTTAAACGAAAGCCTCAATAGTAACCAATTTTGATCCTTATCAAAACATGAGAATTCCGTTCATAAACTGTCATAGAAATGATCAGTATGCTCTGTGTTTATGGTCTGTCTTAAACATTTTCCATCCAGTATGTAAGTATATACGTTAATGTTATTTAATCTGATTTATTATTATGAAACGCTATCTGTTATTCAGTGCCAAATGACAAATTATTGCTGAGGATATCCATTTTTTCGGGAAAATCGTATTCCCTCATTTTATAAAACTCTGACATGTGAGATTATTTTTCATTACTTAAGACAGTTTCTTCATTTATTTTATTATTATTATCAGATTTGTTTCGTTCCCCTGGCTTTTTAACACAGTATTATTAATAAAGAAGTTATTGTATACCTTTCCAAATTTTTGCAATACATACAGTTAAGAACAGATAAACTAATTGATGCATATGCTAAAAATGTAATTCACATGAAGAAAAATTATGAAATAGAAAAAGAAGGACATATTGTGTCGCCTTGTCTGTCGTTAACACGTCAGGCACATTTATACTTGTAGGCCAGTTTGCCATCTACGTATACAAATCTAAGCAAAGTATAGATGCTGCTTTAAGAAGAATCTCTCCTTGACCTGTACAAGTCGGCTCTCTCGGAATTATGCCACGTACGTATTCTATGAGAAATCCAAGATCACGTGACAATGCTAAAGTATCAACAGTTTACAGTGACCTTCACTCAGTTACTATGATACATTTTGTACATGTTAACTCTTCAATTAACGCATGCTCATCTGGAGTTATCATTTCATGGCCTGACCGAAATAGAAAACTGTGCACCCCTGATTATGTCATGTCAAAATTGAAGGCTCTATACGCACTACCTTGTGGGTTATACAAGTAGGCTATTTAGATCGTGCGATGTACATTAAAAGAATCACGAGGAAGCGGGACGGCAAAATGTATCTGCTTTGAGGTCGGGTGTCGCTCCTCTGTAATCTTCAAAATAGAGGTATTAGCTAAGATATTGATAAGATTTAATTCACCTGAATCCAATCAAATAGTTAGGCTCAAGCCCTTCGATAATGTCCTGTCATTAGCAAGGGTGCAGAGAACGTACCTGACCGTAACCATTTGACTTTCGATTATGTTCTTGGATAAAATACAGTGTATGAC